TTTTGGATTATGTCAACTTACTGGGTAGTTTTGATGTTTAGAAACGTCTTTAACCTCTGCGATGAATGCAACAATACGATTCCAGACATTGATAACTTAAAAGATTTTAAATCTTTTTTAGGGACTAATTTATTTGATATTAATTTCCACTTAGAAAGGGACAGGAATCCTTTCCATTCATGCTGTCAATTGACTGCTACCAGTTAAGTTATTTTATGAAACTAACATATGTTTTGTTTTTGCTTTTTTGTATGTTTGGATTAGTTTGTTGCTGACATCTGGGGTGAATTTTATGTCAAGAGCCTCATTATAAATATATTTTAAGCAAAGAAACAATTGGGTTTTTCATTATTCATTGTTTTGTATTTAGTTTGTTGAAGCAAAAACATAAGATGATGACAGTGAAGATTAATTTTTCAGGGTTGAGCATGTCTGTCATATGGCTGGCTGCAGTAATAACAGGAAACATTTGAATTGACTTTCTCAGGTGTTCTGACCTCATTTAGCAAAGGGGATGTAAGTGACAGATTAATATTTTGACTCTGATTTATTTTAAAATTGAAGCCTCCTGATGGAGGACAAGGTTCTGCCCTCCTCAAACAGAAAAAAAAAGTGGCGCTAAGTGTCATTACCACAGAAATACTGAAGAAGTGATGGGTTGCTCGGGAGAAAGTACATCTTAGCACGTTCAACATAGCAGGTGCAAAGAGGTCAGAAGTAACTCTCATTCTGTCTTCTTCTCAGTCTGATTTTTTAGATAGAAATACCATAAATAGAGGTGCTTTGTTTGTGTGAAAAGGCAGGTTAGCTCAGGTTTCCAATCATTGTCTATTACACTAAAAATGCCTCCACTGGGGATGGTTTTGTCCTTATTAAGGCATCGCACCAACTGTTGGTCCTTAGGTGCAGAGTATACCAGAAAAGGTCCCTATGAGGTAATGGACAAACGAGACTGCTTTATTGTATTCATAGCTTAAAGTGGACATCATTTCCCGTCTTTACTATTGCTGTGTGGCATTGAGCTGTCAGTCAACTAACCAGTCTGTATTTATACCTACATCCACACACATGGGTATTTGTGTGACATTGTTCTGTAGAGGTTTAGAGGTCAGTGTGTGTGAGGGGACATTTCAGCAGCATATTTCCCAAAGGTCCTAACAAAGCTCAATTCAATGTACAGATGGTGAAACAGACCTCTGTCAGCAGATTGTGAACACTGGCATTTTGATTGTGTTATAATGGAAGATAATGCCGTCTGGCAAAGTTTGGAATTCGATTCAAGTGTTTTCCATGGTCTGGATAAGTATAGACAAAGAGTAGATGCTGGGAAACATTTAAATTTCCAACTCTCAGCTGTAGGGGTTTCTATGACTATCAACTCTTGCATTTTAAAACAGCCTGAAAACGTAAAACTCTGGAAATTCTGAGAAAAATATGTTTATTGCATGGATTCTAGTCCTAGTATTCCCTGCCAGCAAAAAAAAAACAACTCTCTATATGGCTTTGACTAAGCAAACAGGTGAAAGCCTCACAGTGGAAATATACTGCAGGGATTAACATGTTTACATTCAGACAACCTTTAACCCGCAGCTTTGACCGTAGCTGTCTCTGTGAGGTTTTTTTTTTTCCAGGAAGAAATTACTCTTCTCTTTAGTGTGAGGCATTTTGTAGAAACATTTTGTCTCTACAAAAAATACTGTCAAAAGCTGTAAAACTTATTCAGCTCTTTTTGAAAATTATATCTTGCTCAGTTTCAGAAAAAACATTTGTGCCACATTAGTGCTGGTTTGTGCTGCAGAACCTTCTTTTGTGCCACTTGCATTATAAAGACATGAATAAGAGTTTTTCAGACATCACACAAGTCTGGCAACATTTGTTTATTCATGTGGTATTTTTTTCACCACTGAGTGGAAAAAAAAACATATTTGTCTATTTTTTTTTTCTGTTTGTGAAAATTTGCTACTGTGAGCTGTGATTTTTTTATTTTATAGAGGCATTTTTACAAATTAATGTGGAAGGTTTCTAGATAGTATAAAAATGATTGGTTGGATAGAGTTTATTTAGTTTTTAATAAAAGTGAATCCATAAGATCAAAAAAATAATCTCTGGATTCGTTTCTCTCCCAGCTTGATTTGTATGACACAAACAGAAGCTTAATGACTGTCAAAACATTTCAGAATTCTTCTTGTTCACTGTCCTAAGTTTTTGTCTTTTTAAGGTTGCAAAATGAAAACCACAAATTTTAAGGAGCACAGAGAAAGAAATTCCAGGTGTAGAAAAAGTAGCAGAGAATGTTGCGTGAATAAGTAATCTGCTTTCAGGCACGTGTTTTATTCTCCTGAGGGGTTCTTTAAGGAAACATAATGCTGGCCATCTTGAGGCAGAAGCGTGGGAAACAAATTACTCATATTTGACTGTCGGGTGGAAAAACAGCTCCTGATATTTCCTGTAAATTTTAGCTAATTGTCAGATTGAAGTAACAGAAAAGACCATCCTTCTTTGCCAGTAACAGCAAATCCTGTGTTCCTGTTAAAGTGCAGGACAGTATTTGTGGGTTCCACTGTTAACTGCTGTTGAAGTCATGAACGGGTGTCATTTGATAAGGGGAGACGGTTCCATCCCTGTCTGCCACGAAGTGCACGCTGTGTGTGACAGGATAATAACAATGTGAACTAGTTTCAAATATATCATCATTGACCAGGAATTTGTTTCTGGAGACACTGCTGCAGACATATTGATTACCGCCATAGCAACATAAATACATACAGGCAAAACAGGACCTCACAGTCACAGAGTGCAGAGAGGTTGTGTGAGCGCTCCTGTGAGTGTGGTGTTTTATTGCTGCCAACTGCTCATTTTCAAAGAGTGGGGTAGGTGGGTGGGTGAGGGGGGGTTAAGAGAGATCATGGGTGGGCCCCAATGAGACTCATTGAAGATGGAGACGTCACTTCAGAAAACACTCAGCCTTCACAAAATGGAGGGAGGAGAGAGCAAAAGAGGGGAGTGGATAGAGAGTGAAGGGAATCTGAGATATCATATGTTAGCCATTGTAAATATGTCTCTGCAGTGCAAGTACGGTTTAATTTGACTGTTGGCCAGCTCAAGTCTAAATGTGATTCCCTCAGCTCCAGGAGGTGCAGCGCCTTGCGGAAATATTCCTACCTCTTCAAATTCTTCAGCTTTTGTGCCACCACAACCACAAACATCACTGAAATCTGTTCATATTTGATGTGATGGTTCAACCCAAAGGAGAACATGATTGTGAAATTGAAGGATAAAAATAGATGGTTTCCAAGCTTTTTACCAAACAATTTGTGTACAATTTGTGCAATTCAAACTCGGCATGAATTCAGCTGTTCTGCAAAGGCTTCAGAGGTTTGTTGGGGAAGATTGGAGGTCAACGGTGAGGATGAAGCTCTCGGTTGCTTTAAGTCAAGGTTATCTTTTAAAGCAAAACATCGAGCTTTGAGCACCTCATAGAGCCCTATTTGATCTAGAATCTTACAAAGAAAGAAAACAACTAACAGCATTAATCTTAAGTAGCTGCCTGGACTCTCAGCTCAGGTGGGAGAATCTGTTGACAGAAAAACTACTGGTTTTGCACTTGAAAAACCTGGTCTTTATTGAAGAGCGGGGAGACAAAAGTCACTGTTGGGAGAACAAAACAAATAAGCAAAAAAAAAAAAAAAGAAGCATAAGACGTCTTGTTTTAAATTTTCCACAAGCAAATCAAATCTGGTTGGAGTTAATGGAAAGATGAATGCAGATAGATACGGAGCAACCCTGGTAGAAAACCTGGTTGATGCTGCAGTCTGGGATGGAGGTTTACCTTCCAGCACAACACAACCCTAAACATGCTGCCACATCTACAGTGGTTCATGTTAAAGCACATTCATTTTGCAAAGTATTTACTCTTTCTTCTGATATTTATTTGTACAATTTGTAAAGGCATGTATCACTTTCCTTTTCACACAAAATACCAGTAGAATACGTTGAAGGTTCTGGTTGTAACGTGAATTAAGGTCGTCGTTTATGACATTCATGCATGATTCATTCACTCCAACTTAAGGTAGGATGTGTTGTTTCTCTCTCGCACTCTGCTTCCCCTCAGTCACACACAAACTTCATACTCATTTTCACATTGGTCTCTGAGGCGCCTCCAGCCATTAACTGTGTCCCAGGCTGGGACTGGGGGGAAAGTGTTGGGTGTACCCAGCAGGGAAGGCAGGCAAGGCTGGGCACAGCTGTCCCCAGAGGAGGAAGCCACTTTCTCATATCTCTGCCTACATGGTTTCCCAGAATACTCGTCTCTGAAGATTTTAGTCATCTGAAAAAGAAAAAAGCCTGTTTACTCCAGGACAGCAGGATAAAAGGAGGCAAAAGCCAGAAATTCTTGAAAACATTTGTTCTTTTTTTCCTTTCTGTTTTAAAACCCATACATTATTGCACTATGGGATTGCAACGCTTAAAAAGCATAATTGTGCTAACAAAAATAGACTTTTATAGCACTGTTTATTCCCAAACAGGATTCCTACTTTTGGTTCAAAGCTAACAAAGACGGCATCCCTGCTTTCTTTCATCTCACTTCTCTGTCTTGTTCTCCAATCGTAATATTATCGCTTCGTCTCATTTTCTCTTGTAATATTTCTTTGTAGCTCAATATTCTTTTACATTATCATATTTATTTATTTAGCATCTCTGATTTTATTGCCTCACCTCTTTCGCGGTTTGAGGAGCTCAATTAAATGCCAGTTTTCCACTGATTTTCTCCCACGAAGGCAGTCACAGCACAGAAAAGAAAATGAAGCTTTCAGAAAACAATACCAATGTGCTTGCAAGCAATATCCGGTATTTAAATTATTTTGAAAGCTTGGATAATTTTGCTTGTTTGGTGTTGTTAGTTGCATGAAGAAGGTTACACTTATAATCTTTAATAGTGTGTCAGAGTAAGTTTCATGAGTGAGCCTCTATTGATATTATGAACCGTTTTGTCTCCTCAGCTGACGACGGAGCAGCTGGTGATGCTTTTGGAGCTTCTGCTGGAAGAATCGGAGCTGAGTGTGTCATCGATGCGTGCTCTGCACAAAACCTACAATCTGCAGAATCAAGATGCTGAGGTGAGACACAACGTGCACACGAGCTCAGACAAGTGAGCAAACATAACCAAGTTCTCTGAACTCGGCTACAGGGATTAAACATCTTGTATAAATATCAATTGATACAAGAAAGTTTCAAATTTTCTCTTTGAATTAAGGTTTGGCTAGGTAGCTCCAACACCTGAATATGCTGTGGTTAAAAACAATATGCTATTGCAGCTCGGCCTGTATGCTTAAAGATGATGCCCTGCTGGGAGGTAATGCAGAAGAGAAGCATTCCCACAGCATGATGCTACCACTACTGTGTTTCATGATCAAGGCTTTTAGTTGTAAAATAATAATAATAATCTTATAATAATAATAATAATCTAATAAAAACATCTTGAATTTTCCATCTACATTACAGTATGATCAACTTTTTGTAGGTAATAGTCACTGAAGTGAGTGGTTGTGATGTGGCAAAATGAGCTGAGTGCCTTGATAAGCCAATGTAGGTTATATATATATTTGTACTTTTAAGACAGTATTTGCATTTGTGTATTTTTGACTGTATTGGTATTTGCAATAATCAAGATTATTTTACACTACAGAGTTGCTATAAAGTACAGGAGAACTGGTGTGGAAACACAGCTGTGGCAGAAACCTGTAAACTGTCCATGCTAACCTCTGTCGTTAACACATGGCTCATTTTGAAAAGAAAAACTTGATACATATTTAGGTTTTTACAGCTTCCTATTAATTATACGAGCTGTTGTTGAGGCTGCAGTGCATCTAATGGGACTCAGATGTTTTGTTGTGGAGTCACTTGAGCAGTCATTGAACTTATCCTGATGAGAAAAGGTGCATTAAAATATTAAAATAAAATAAAAAAATTGTCGACGACATAATCACATAAATAAAAATAAATATGTACCTTTTTATTTGTATAATTACTCAGTGGCTGCTTATCGACCTCGTAGTAACAAAACGGAGGCCGCTCTGTGTTTGGCCTCGGATCCAGCTTTCAGGATCAGGACACTTCCTGGCAGATAAAATGCAGATTCTCCTCCACAGTTTCCAGGGGAAAAAAAAGCTCTCACTATTCGCTAAAAATAAGCAGGACCATTATCCAAGTAGTGGTGCAGAAATAACATACTTGCAAAACATTCACACTTACACACACTTCTCTAAGGCAGTGGCGCGGTCCAGGGTTATTTGTCACATTCTCAAGAGGTTAATCAATTTCAACTCTCCTCATAAATGCAGTTATACTTTTTTTTCTGTGTTTGAAACTTATTTTCTTCCACTTCTCACTTTCTTGCACCACATTCTCTTTTGATAAATGCTAATTAATTTGTTTAAAACTCTTAGATTAAAACAGATCTGAGTGCTGTTTCAATCACAGATGGGAGCTTTCTGGAGTTATTGAATATTGGATGATATAAATGGATGTTTTTGATTCTAAAAGGGAACTAATAATACAATCACTTTGTAATGGTGTTTTGTCAGATTGAACAGTATACATGTCACCTCCTCTTATACATATAAAAAAAACATTTTTATATATATATATATATATATATATATATATATATATATATATATATATATATATATATATATATATATATATATATATATATATATATATATATATATATATATATATATATATATATATATATATATATAAATCTTTCATTCAAATGTGATCACAGGCTGCTGTTCCATGTTTCACCATACGTTCTTGTGGTAAACAAATATCTGCACAGTGGTGCGATACTGTAGAGTAAAAGTGATAAAAAAGCTTGTAAAATGCTGTCCTGTAGCATTTTTGTGAATGTGAAAATCTGATCAAAAGTGAGAAGCTGACTGTCATTGCGTGTGCAACCAGGTGTTTGTGTGTGTGTTGGCTGTTAGTGGCCATGAATATTTGTGCTGGTGGACCTGTGTGCATGTGTTTGCATGTAAGAATGCGACTTTGGCCCACTTCCCTTCCCTGGTGTGACTTGAGGTCGAGTGTAAATCTACTTGTGCACTCTTGGTAGGTTGCACATGTGTCAAAGGCAACTCATTCTGTTAAGTTTGCTGACTCCAGGTTGCACTGGAGTTCAAGAATTTGGTTTGTGCTAATTAAAAAAGCTGTCAACTGTTTTAGATCTTTTTTCATAAACGGTGAGAGTTCTTTTGTGAGAGTTCTAATCTACAAGTTGAGATTACAATGTTCCAGCCTTATATTGTGCTATCACAGTGCTTACACTGTGAAACTGAATTAGAATCAGATGAGAATAAGTGGATTGAACTTTACGCAGCACTTTTCTAGTTATACTGACTGTACTGCTGTACATCGGAGCTACAGTCACTCACAAATCTAAACAAATCGAAATGTGTACATTATGTTTATACATAATGTTTATAACATAATGTTTATAACATAATGTTTATGTGTACATTATGTTTATACATAATGTACACATTTGAAGATTTTGATTAAACATGGCTTACTGCCCAGGGAGGAACAGACGACGGGATTCAGAAATAGTCTGTGCAACATAGATGTGTATCTGAGCTTACATTAAAAAGCAAATCTGTCCATGCAGAAAATACATCCAAAAAGCGAACAGTTCTTAAAAAAAATTACATTATGAATGGAATTGGCTTTCAAGCTTTCAGCATGTGAATTTGGTAATTCAATAAGTAGCTGCACATTGATTATCTACACTTTAGAATAGTTGTGATGATAAAATAGTTTTAATGAAGTCCATTTCCAAGTTTAAGTTTAATAAAATGATCAAAAATAACAACTGTCAAACACTGACAGCTGTTAACATTGTTGAGATGTTTACTGGTTGAAAAACACGTTACGTCTTCTATTTACATTTTGTGCATGATAACATAAAAATTAGTGACTAAATTATTGACAAAATTTTTCTCCCTCCTTTAGCGGGCAGTTGGGACACTTTATCCCTTGGCAATATTGTTGCAAAATGAGAGTAAACCAATAGGTGATGATCATCAATCATCATGTTACAGCACAAATTAATTAAATCAAAGTTAATTTTAGAAGTACATACTACCCTGACCAATAATGCAGACAAAGCAAACCTTCCTGAAGTGACCACTGATTTAGCAGATAGCAGTCAACCTGATTTAAAATTAAGCTCTTACGGTATTAAGCAGAATTTGGAGCATTTGGAGATAGTAAAGACAAAGGATAGTCTGTAACTTTGCATGCACACTGAATATTTAAGCAACAGTTGCAGTTCCTGTGTGTGATAACACCAGGGGTAGAGAGGAATGAAGGGAAGAACAACGGTGCAGTAATAAATGAAGGAATGTCACTGCGTAATTGCATGTGCTGTCAGGAAGAGGGGCCCTGCAAGAGGAAACATAGTTTAAAGAAAAAAAAAAAAGGGAGAAGAAGAGGTGCACCAAGCAGCTGCTGTGCCCCAAGGCTCTCCCCAGGAATGTAACCCAGTATAGTCAGCAGCTGCTGGGGCTGCACAGGCCAGGAGGGCAGAACTAGCACTAGAGGGTAAACATATTGTGCACATTCGTGCAAAGACAGGAAGACATATTTCTAGAGGGAAATGGAGCTGATTTCTGAAATATATCTGCTTTTTGAGTTCTTACTAAATATAACTTAATTAAAAAACCGATTAAACTAACCTTTTTGGCTTCCAAATGAAGCATTGGTCGGTCTCAGTTTTGACACCTCAAAGATGAAAGGAGAATAATGTCGCGTTTTAAAGACTCAGACTTCTGTGATGAGAGTGAAAGCTTGAAAAAAGGCCTTGGAGGATCACTTCTGCTCAGTTTCTAAAACCTCTAAATGAATTCTTGTACCTTTTTCTTTTCCCAGAGCTTGAGCTGCTGAGATCAAATCAATCACCAGAAATCCCACACTGAATTCTTCAAGGGACTAGTTTATTACCCTGAGTCAGTGGAGACACTTTGAGGAAGACTGAAAACACCCACGAAAAATGCAGTCAAGGGGAAACAGCTAAGCTTTGAAAGAATTGATGATGCTTTAAAAGATTTTTCATCTCAAAATTTTTAGCGCTCCTCAATATCTTTTATCGTCCTCTGCCAGCCTCCTCAACAAGTATATAAATGTACGTACACACACTCATGTGCGCTCGTATCAGATGATGACGGATGATGGTCGAGGCAGTGTCTGGTCTCTCCTGTAACCGCAGCAACAGAGCTCCTATTGATCCTGCCAGGCAGCAGCTTTCACAAACGCACACAACAAATCCACGGTCAGAAAATCAAATTGTAGTTTCTCACATGATATTTTCAGGTTTAACAGAAGCCCCGATCTGTTAATTCTACATTAATGTCTTGAAATTTTTTCACGAATGAACTGCTGTCTCCCAGCTCTGATCCAATGACCACTGAGGTGGGCACCAGCCCACCTGCGACCCTGCATGGACAAGCTGTTGCAGACGGTGGATGGGGTGAATGGATTTTTAAAGAAATGTAACATTCAATATAATTGTGCTTCTCAATGATAACGCAAGAGTGATTACCAAAATTTATTGATGAGAACAGACGTCCAAATCAAGTGAAGTCAAGTTTATTTATCGTACATTTCGTACAGCAATTTTGAATTCAATATTAGAAATAAAACCATAAAACTAGATCAATTTATAAATCCTAGCAATGACCCTGATTATATCCCAAGATGCTTTAATGCCTCAATTTGCCTTATTTTGTGACAATGAATGTCTACAAACTCTAAATGAAGCCTACAAACAGGGCATCGCTTGTGCTACTTCCACCTATCAGCTACTAGGCCATGTAACTTGGTAACTATCTTTCTTCAAAGACCGGAGGTGTTGCAAACTGTCAAACTGACATTATTCTGAAACTGAAATGTAGTATTTATGACTAGCAGTTGTTTTTTTTCTCCCCGTTTTGGTTGCAGGTCCGACATCGCTGGTGTGAGCTGGTTGTTAAGCATTCCTACTCTCAGGCTTACTGTGATGTTGAGGACTTTCTGCTTCATGATCAGGTAAAACATTAGCATTATCACTCTTATTCCATAATCATTCAAGTCATGTAGAAAAGCAATGAGTAGATTTCGAACAAAATGTGTGTGTTTCAGGCAATGGGTGTGTATCTTTACGGGGAGCTGATGCTTCAGGAGGATCCAGAGCAGCAGGCTTTGGCTCGTCGATGTCTCGCATTGGTCCAGGAGGAAATGGACCAATCAGCACGCAGAGTTGTGGTGGAGATGATTCTGTGACATTGGAGGTGAAGTGTCATTTTTGTTTAGCAGATTTTTAGTTTTAGCAGCTCCAACAGGGTTTCTGACACTCTACTGAACAGTAGCTTTTAGTTCTTTTCCTTTCAACGGTTTGAGCAGAAACTGCTAATTTTAACCAACATGTGTCTTGAAAGTCCAGAGTCTTCACTGTAAATTAACATGTATAGCATACGTCAGGGTAATTATTGTCTGATAAGTGTATTTCCTGAAACTTTGCCTTATTTGACCTGGCGCTCTATAAAGAAAGCTTTGTGTTGAATCTATTTTGATCCAGTGTAGCAGGGAGACTACATGTGAATTTGCTGGCTACCTTTGCTGCACATTCCTTTCTGACCTGTAAGCGAGATCGTAGGCTCATGAGGTTTCACGGCAGCACCATTACCATATTTGTCAGAGAAGGAATTTGGGAATTTGTTCCTCAAACAAGCTCTGCTGGAAGACAGTAACGCAGAGAAAATGGGTCAGTGAGCATGTGCTGAAGGGCTCAGGATGGTCTCCACTCAATTTGGAGCGATTTGCACACAGTCCATCCTGGAATTCCTCCACTGGGTGTTGTTTATATGCATAATCACAGCTGTCAACTAGTGGCCTCCTGGCTTATCCTGAGCAGTGAGGGGTTTCTTACTCTGGCACTAAATGAAGGAAAGATGAAAAGTTTTGATTTGGAGAAAACGAAAAGGGAAATATATATATATATATATTTAAAAAAATTATCTCAGTCTCTGTTTCAATGTGGTACTACTGAGACAGATGCATCTGGCTACGCCTGCTAGTTTGGAAAAGAAACTACTTTTTTTTTTTGCATTAAACATCAAACATCACTAGATATAATACAGCTACAGAGAGCCTGAGGGCCTGGTACTTAAAGTAGAATCAATTATTATTTATTGCAGTTCAAAGGAATAACAGTTAATTTGAGATATATCTTACAGCCATAGTTTAAATGTTAATGAAAATGGAAGTCAAAAACAGCTATTTACACAAATGTTTTATAAATAAAAGGTTATGGCTGAAGATAACCTATTTGTGGGATAAAAGGAAAATATGACAATGCAACAGTTTTGGTGAATATTATGATGAAGTCATTTGTTGAGATGAACTACTGCTTTCTTATCTTTTCTATTGGCAAAGTGTCCCAACACTTATCCTGAGCTCTATGGTCAGGTCAAATATATTACTGCCCATCCCAGAACCTTAATATAAATGAATGTCTCATTACCTGGCCTGCAACATGCAGAGAAGGTCAGTCAGTCATTTGATCAAGGCATGCTGGAGCAGGGACACACCTAAAAGTTGCAGGATTGTGGCTGTCAAGGACAGGAGTTCGAGTCCCCTGATCTAGATCTATCTCTAAAACTACAAGAGCAGACTAAGTGCTGCCCTACTGCCAAAAGGTTGTTTTCCAAGGTATTGACCATAAGCACAGCAGTAAATGTGCCTCTAGGGATTTTGGTAAAACAATTATTTCTTAAAATGCCATTTATTTTTCACACACTGAGCAAATACACTCAGATTAAACATTAGGTTTTTCAAACGGTTTTAGCATATGGTTATAACGCTGTTATAGAAGACTAATTTATTTTAAGGCTTTTTACACATCTTTACCAGCCAATGTGTCTGCAACTTACATGAAAATTACATGATCAAAAATCCCGCCAAAATATAAGCAGGTACAGCAAATGATTTTTGGCTTAAATCAAATGGAGCTGTGTTATTATTTCTCCTCTCTCCACCTAATAACACTCGAGAAGGCATTTGTGACCTTGGTTTACTCAGTCTGTCAGAAGGTGCAGCTAAAAACTTGTCCAACATCAACCTCGCAGCTCTGAATCCTCTTCGTCGAGCTGCCACGACAAGCTTTTATCTTCAGATGCCGTTTTTCCCAGTGAAAGGCTTTTTCTACAAGTGTTTGGCATCCGGCTCTGTCCCGATAAATCTCGCTGACACAGATACGCTGCCACAAGTATTCCCACATCTTTCTGCCATCCTCCTCCTCCCGTCACCTCAGAAGAGCAGAAGAAGCATTTAGAGATTAATACTCCAACTTTTACTATGACTTCCCATTGGACCGACCCAAGCAGGCCCCCATAAACATCAGTGGATCCCACTGGTCATCTGAGATCTCACTCCAATTAAAATGATGGATGAACAGACCTCCTTGCTGCCTTTTCATATCTCTCTGTAGGGAGGTGGATTTATGTTTCCCTTCTCAGTGTGTGTTACTAAATCGTCTTTTTTTGGTTTACTTGATTGGGATCCTACACAGTCTGGAACTTGATTTCAGCATTCTCAAGGTTTGAATAAGCCTGAAAAAGGAAGCTAGAGTATTAAGAAATATTACATTTCCAGATTGTATTCCATGTTCCAATGGATCAAGGGATGTTGTCCTTCCTTCCTCCTTGGGTCCTACCTGGCTTGCTGTCATGTCGTCATTCTTTCTTCAAGCAGTTCATTGTGTCCTTTTCTTTGCTCATAGTTTGCTCCTTGTTTCTTTTTCTATCCCCCTGTTCTTTTTATTAGTTTTCTTGTGACCACCTTCCTTCCTTGTGCTCTTCTTTACTTCCATCCTTCCTTACTTTGGTCCTCATGTCTTTCCTATATTCTTCTGTCCCTTCTCTTATGTGATTCCTTATGTTAAGTCTTTGTTCCCATTTTCCATTCCTTGCTTTGATCCTTATGTCCTTATGTCCTACTGTCCTACGAATCATTCTCTCTTCTTTTTTTCTTCCTTTACTTCCTCCTACCTCTCTTCCTTTCTTTGGCATTCTGTTTTTCCTTCCTTCATGTCATTTATTGCATACTATCGCTCATTCTTTTTTCCTTCTGCCCTCTCCCTTCCTTGTTCATCCTTTTCATGGCCTTACGTTTATTGCTCTTTTCTTCTATTTTTATTTTTTTTGAAGCACTCATTTTGCCCACTGCAGAGAAATAATTTTATGCCCTGGGAATTTTAGTATTTGACATTTTAAGAAGAGTTCACTGGAATGTCAAGATTGGTAAACCGTTGGATATTTACAGAGAAATATGTAAATATCTAGGAACCCTAACTTGAACAGTTCTCCCTGTACCCTTTCCCCCCAAACATTCAGTCTCAATCACAGTGGATTATGTTGATTTTGCTGAGGCAGGCTGAGTGGGTTTTAACTGAAAACATGTCTATGAAGGCGTGCTCCCTCCTCCACTTTGTTTTTGAACCTGAAAAGCACAACTCTTTAGAGTGTTAGGGTGGTCTTTCAGTACCTTTTTTTTTCTTTTTTCCATCCTACCATGCTCGCTGTCTTGTAATTTTCCTCCCCCCAGTACATGCCTTTGGAATCCCTCTTGATCCGCTTAATGAGGGGCATATCGCCGGGTCAGCCAAGCGTGGCGAATAGGAGACGAGAAGGGTAACCAAGGAAATAGCGGGTGAGAGTAAGGCAGTGAATCATCTGCAGTTGTGGTCTTTCACGGCTGAGTTCTTATGGCAGACGTGAGGGGAGAAAAACAGGAGGCCAGAGCAGAGAAAGTTTTTACTTTCAGGGTGTTAGCAGTGAACTGGACTCCGATTCAGCAGGTAGAGAGAGAGGGAGGGAAATGAGAGACAGAGAGGAGATCTTGTTCTTTCATGTCTGGGCTGTGAGGGTTCCTGGCGTGCTGATTTGTGGCTTATGATAAAATCACATTGCCAGGGATTACCACACAGTCCTGACCCCGCCGGCTGCTCTGGCAACCAGAGCTCCTTCAATGCACAAACATCTTCACACGCTTGCACACTGAAGAAACCAGAACTCTAGAGGGCCTGATTATTTAAGGGTTTGCGTGATTATGTTTGAGGAGACGGTGATTTGAAATGACAATGATGAGGGGGACTCATCAGCACGATGGTTTGACCACACATCAATCACCTGGGCCAGCTTCTGAACCCTCTCTCCAGCCAGATACAGAGCTTAGCTGATTGGTGAACAGTGATTGATTTCCTCTTTGTTCACAGTGGCTAAGTTCTGCACCTGAGGAGAGCTTGACCCAGACAGGGAGACAATGGAAAGAAAAGAAATGTGTGTAAAGACAGTGGAGCCGTATTTTTCCGCCTCTTTAAAGTACCACAGTCTCTTTATCTTCTGCTTCTTTACCGTTTCTGGATCATTTTTCACCTTTTTTTTTTCAAGCTCTTATCCCAGTCATCGTTTTCGAGAGCCTGCATGTAAAACCTCCCCACACACATCTCCGCCTCCGCTTTGATCCATATATCCAGCATGATTCTGCACATGATGCCTTTATCGGGCTCTGTAATCCTGGCAAAGGTGGAGAGCCAAGCACCTTGGTGGGTCTACTAGCTGTGTGCTAATGAGGCCTAGTGAGACCCTGACTCTGCTTAGCGACACTGACAGATTTAATCAAATACAAAGCAGCGACCACAATCTGACAGTACAGCATTCTGTCAGTCAAAGTAAATGTAAGACCTGCCAGCAAAATATAGCAGGGCTTCAGACTGATGCAATACATTTAAACTCGAGTTACAGTGCCTTGCAGAAGTATGAATAATACTGTTTTTTTTTTCTTATTATTACATTTTATGAAGTTGCAACCACAAACCTCAGGGTATATTATTAGAATAATGTTAGGGTTAATCTCTTTATAAAGCCTATTAAAAACGTTGAAGTTAAACAACAAAAAAATTCAATATAAATTTTTAGTACAGTTGAAACTTGTAATAACCTGTCATAATACAAGGACAGGTTTTTGGTTGGACGGGGCAATAACATAACTTTGACTGTGATGAGGAGTTATTTTATTTTATGTGCTTTATTTGTATCGTATTTCTCATTCATTTTGCTAGTGTCCAAAACATCTAAACTATATGTAAAATTGAATATCAATAACAAGGCAAAAATGGGATGTAAAATGCAATTACATAAAACCAAAGTTGTTATCCCGCATTTTAAAGTTATTAATCACAGCATTATACAAAATAATGTATAACATACATTGTTATGCATGTATCTGATAAATATATAACATGTTATTCAAAATGCATAACTGTGAAGGAAGAGGCAATGACATGATTTTCAAAGTGTACCTAAACATTTTGCACAAAATGTGTGGAACGCCAAACTCCCATATGGTTTAACTTCTCTTAAAAATCAACAACTGCAAAGTAAACAGTAGGGTCTTCTAAGAGAACTATGATCCATAACACACATCACAACTTGTTTTGGAATTTAAAAAGTATACTCAACACAATTTTTTTTTTTCTGCAACTTGCTAAGCTAAATTGATTCTAATATTTGTAGATATACAAGTCTATATGTAAATATATATTGATTAACTTTTTCCTCCTGTATTTTGACCCAATTTATTAGAAAAAAAATCCACACTAAATTAAAAAATGTCCACTCAGTCACTGTTTTTCAAATTTATTATGGAAGTATAGCAAAAACTTTTTTCATTATTAGAAAAAATTTTTGTCCAAATAAGTCATCAAAAGCCCAAAATACATTTATTCATGCAAATTTGTGCATGTATGCGTCCAATGAGAACTCTAAATGCTAAGCTTGTTATCTATTAGGGAAAGAAACACTTTTTTTGAGAGAAATTTGTTTTCTCCCTCAAATATTCACCAAATCTTGGCAAAAATATTTAAAATGTACCATTCAATATCTCTCAGGCCTCTTATTTCATAGCTTTATTACAAAAAAATGAAGGCTGAACTACAACTTTCTAAATTTACTGGGGAAACTTTGTGTGAAACTCTTTCTTGGCTTGTTGCGGTTTATTTTTCACTGCCTTGCAGCTCCAAAATGTCATACCAAGATTTAAGGTTTGAGTCTTTGATGTTGGCCAAGTCAACTGACTCAAAAAAAATGCAAACAGTTCTTTAACTTTGCAATCAAACTGGGAAACAGATGTAATATTAAAAAAAAAAAAAAACAGATTTAATTGTTTAGGTAAAGAATCTGGAGGTTTAGGCCTGAAAAGACTTTGTTGGTGAAGAGAGGTGCTGAGGCGTCATTGGCTGATGTGCATTGATTTCTGATCTAATCTGAGCCTGAGGCAGCCCAGATACAGAGAGGCAAGTTCTCACACATTCCCACTCAGAGAGGGAAAACAAGGCCAAGGCGTCAAAGATGAATCTCCTGATAACATTTTCAAGGTTCTTCAGCGGGTTAGATGTCATTCTAACTTTATTGGATCTATTGAGTGTTTTTATACAGTAGATTAAATTTGCATTACGTAAGCGTCTTTTGTTTAGTCTCAGACTAAGAGACCTTGTAAAACACCCGCTGGAATGTTTAGCTCGGTCATGCGACATGCTACGTTTGAAGATCCTACTGAGAGAAGACTCCCAAATTAGCAGAAAAAAAGATAAAAACATAGAGGCGCTGTGCAAGAAGGTGCATGTTTCTTTAGCAAACAAAATGACCAATAACTGTCTTCGTACATTGAGGTCAAAAGGGACTCACCATGGAATAGTCACACCACTAGCTGCGCAATATTTGCATGTTCAAACTAATCAAAATAATAATAATAATGATAACTAAATGAAAAAATCTCGTTCCAGCTAAGTGCACTTCTCTTTTGACAGCCAATCTGTTGATATCTGCAGCTGGGATGTTTGCTAATTCAGCTGCATCGTGTGTGTGTGCGTGTGTGTGCGCAGTCTGCGAAGAGTCTGATATGCAACAGGCTAATTGCGATGCAGTTCTTGATCACTCTGTTCCTTGATCTAAGCCGTGACAGATGGGTGAAAATGAATTTCAAACTGGTCAGTCTTGGTTTCTTTTTTACATTTTCTGCTAGAATATATATGGAGTGAGGAGGTATTACTGCGCTCTACATCGGCGACGACAAAATGACGACTAAACGAGGACAGATGTGTGAATTAGCAATGAGGGCCATGTGGAGCTTGCCATTTTTAGACCTATATTTAGGGCCTGTTAAAAGAGTAATGACCATCAAAGGCCTGTAAAAAAAAAAAAAAGAATTGCCATCAGAGCCTGAATCTAAAGGGTGATTTATTACTCTCTAATGGGAAGGGAAATGGTTCTCTGCACATCAAAGGATCAAGCAACCCTGTATAAAGCTTCCGAAAATAAACTGATTTGCCCCACAAAAAGCCCACATCTTCTCCTCATGTGTGTTTAAACTGATTGTCTCTTTTATGTTGTGTGCTTTTCAAAAAGCTGAAATGCATTGGATTTCAAAGAGTGCATTGGAAAATTCTTTAGTCTGAAATGAGGCAGTGTGTGGGCATCAGAGAAGGTGATGAGATGTTACCATTTTGTATTTTACACGGCCTCTCACACATCATAACACAACCACAACTCTGTGGATTTTATATGACAGATTGATATAAAGTGAGAATTTACAAAGTGGAAGGAAACCTGATTAGTGTTTTGCCTCTTTACTCTGGTATTCCTTAATAAAACCAAGTGCAACCAGCTGACTTCAGATAACACCTGACTGGTTGTAGAGTCCAGCTGTGTGCAGTTTCAAGTCAGCATAAATCCAGCTGTGAAGGCCTTAGAGGCACCAGGAAGAATGAAGAACATGGCAGACAAATCTGGTACAGGCTAGTCCTGGAAGAAAGAGGCTACGAAAAGTTAACACTGCAGTGAAGGTTCACCTTCTATCAGGACAATGGCCTCTTTCACAAAACATTTGCCTGGATGAACCACGTCTAAGCTAGTTTACCATTTATATTCCTTAAGAGGAAGATGCAGGATAACAGCAGTTGTGGTGCGGCTTTGACTTGAGCGAATGGTCTAAAATCTGTCAGACATCTCTCCATTCCATTTCTTTAAATACAATAATGTCAAATTAACTCAGCTTAGCAATATTGGTTTAATACTTCAAATGCTCATGCTTCTCATTCCTGCTGTGATCTGATTGCTCAAACCATTTGTCACTACTAACTCAACTAGAGGTGGTTTGCCCTCATACTGTATAAGTCGGCTGATAAGCAGGTGAAACTATCCTTGCTTGGAGAGTCAGAGGCATAACAGCAGTATTCTTTCTGTGCCAGCTTTGCGTCAGTCTTCTTGAACTACTCTGACCATTCAGCCAAGAGCTTCCAACTATCTTGACGGCTGTAGAAATTGAACGGTCTTGAATACACACAAGAAATCGGGTTTCTTGTAGGTTTGCATTGGTGTCATTGAAGACAAACTAGAAAATAATCTGTTCACAGCCAACTTTGGATGAGAAAGACATTTGGGCTGGGATTCCTGTGCCTACTGAGCTGATAATCAGTCCTATCGAACCACTGGCTCAGTTCAGCAGGAACAGGAGTCCAGTCCACTAACAACAGGACCAAAAACCGTTTCCATCTGGCACGTCACAAACAAACAGCTAATGCTTCATTCAATTGAACTGTTAAAGCTTTCATTTGATGCAATTATTAGGAAATAAGTTTAAGCTTTGTTTAATTATTAATACGTGTTTTTGAAGGAAACCAACTGATCTGTAAACTGGGCCGGGGTTACACTCCGTGAAAAAAAGTACACAGTTTAAGGCAGCAATAGATCTGTCAATTGCTTCTTATCGGAAGCGCCAAGACTACTTACTATTGACAGAAAAATGGAAAAACCAAGAGAATAGAGTTAATGGCAGCACAAGAGAAACATTCATCCATATTAGTGCCATTAACTGCCATTAAGCCATACATATTAAATCTTCATCATTGATAAATATTTAGACAAATAAGTCTAAGCTTCTAAACTACAGTTTAATGTGTCATGGCCCAGATTGCTATGGACTCAAAGTATTTACTGACCTGCTTCACCTCATGTTGGATATTTGAAACTATGACCAAATGTCACACAATGTTCCAATGTGTGTCTTTTATGTTTTTTGTAGGTTTGCAGGATGCGGACAGAGACAACAAGAGTTTGGCCCGGAGGATGTACGAGGATGCAGCATTCGCTCCGTCTTTCTCTGGGACTCTGCAGGAACACCAGAAGGCTGCCTTTGTGCTCTACAGCCAACTGGAAAGCTCCAACGTATTCGATTACAATGAGACTACACAAGCTGTTCGTAGCGGAACAGCGTTGTCAGGCAAAATAAAAACCGTCATTCTTCATTGTTTTTTAACGTTAATGGAGGATAAATGGGGATTTCACAGATAAAAGCTCAGAGGTGTATGAGCTTTAGTTGATGCAGTCGTCAGGGGTGTGTTTAGGGATGAGTTCACATCTGTTTAGTCTTAAATCATGATCTGGTTCTCTGAAGTTTAGACTGGAAATTCTTTAAGGGAAGGTACATTTCACAAACGTTATTCCTACTTCACTCTTGACTGCAATAAAACTGACCCCAGACAGCTCACAGCATTTTTCTGTGTCGGTTTAATGAATTTTAGGAAAATAATATTTTTATAGTAAATAAACATTTCCACAAAAATAAATGATATGTTTCTTGTGTTTTCTGTTTATCCTAAACTCAAATTCTATCAATGAGACCCATTCTATATAGAACATGACAAAACCAGAATAAACCAAATTTAAAGAACTTTAGGCAAGTAGGTTCAAAATATCAGAAGTAAACTTGGTTAAGAAATGCAGTGCTCTTTTCTTTTTTTTTTAGTTGCTGCAGGAATTTACTTCTAAAATTTCATCCAAATTTGTGGGACACCTTGAAAATAAAAAAGTTACAATGCTGCACAACTAGGCAACACCTGCCCCACATAGCAAATTTTCCATCTATTTCAGACAGATGCAACACAAGCTGCTTTGAAAGACAACATCTTTTTAAACAAATAATGAAAGCAAACAGAGGCAACTAAATTCAAATTCTGGCAAGAGTAAAAATTAAATATTATAACTTTACACTGTAAGAGAACAAAGCAAGTCACTGTTTCTTTTTCTACAAGCACATTGACACAAATCACAATACCATAGGAAAATCTATTTTTGTCAATCACTCGATTCTATACACATTTTCTGAGGTGAAAGAGCTAGAAACCATATTCATAAATTAACCAAATAAAATAGTTGAAATTATGTGCTTTGACATAAATGCATCTCTTGTCTGAACACATACAGGAAAGTTTGATAGATCTTTATCTTTTCTTTTTTTTCAAGTGTAAATAAAATAAATCCAATTTTACAGTAAATTTACAAATTAAAACTAGATATCAAGGAAATGTCTACATTCTTCATAGAAATCTGAAATATTAAGTATATATGCATTTCACAATGGGTGCTTACGTTTGTGTTTGTCATAGTAAATGTGATCCCAATGACAAAGAAATACACAATACACAAATGAGCAGAACTATTGACAGTTTCTAACATACTTGCAATATTCCATGCACAGTAGGTTTGCACAAGTAAAGCACAATCACTGATACTGTAGAGTACTTCTTACTGTTGTCTTGCGTTCAGCCTGTGCAGTTTGATGGGACTTGTAGAAATTTAGTGAGCAGGCAGACTCTGACACGTACACGCAGATGCTTCCTAACACGGGCATCTTTCACTGCTCAACAGTGTTTGTGGGACATGTAACTGTCTTACATGTGTGTTTATAACTGTGTCCTCATGTCCTGCAATCTGTCCTCACTGTGATGTTTTCAACAGCCTCCCTCCACTGTAGGACAACACAGCAGCGAAGCTATGTGTCAGCTTGTGAGCGTGCATCTGGCTTACATTTGTTTTTTATTGTGTTGTGAAGTTCCTCGATCCTGAGATGAACTCTGTCGTTTGCAAAGCTGCCTCGGTCAGTCAGTCTGAGACGCAGCGAGCTGAGAACACGTGTCGCTTCATCCTGCAGACCAGACTGATGCACCACCTGGAGTGACACACGCACACACACACAATCGACAAGTCATCGCCCAGGAGAGGCTGAAAAGGAAATGATCTGGTCTCATCAAACTGCTGTAGGAAAAAAGGTGGGATTTCATTTGACAGAAATAATTCTGAAAACCCACAATTACCTCTGAGTAACGCAGAAAGCATCTTTTCCCCCTGCCAGCCCCTTCCTTAAATTACAAGCATGTATTTATGCCTGAATGATTCATAGCTTACTTTCAAGTGGTTTCACAATTAATGAAAAAATTCTTAAAATAGCTAGGTATAAGGACTGGACGGAAAATGAATTTAAAAAGGAGCCAGTTTCCAAAAGTTTTTTGGAAAGCCTGAGGAAATATTGTTGAAAACCAATTTAGGTAATCTGAATAAAGTCTGGCTTCTTGGAAGCAAAATATAACAGAATTTAGGGTGTACTGCAACTATTAAATAACCAAGATGATGGTTATATTTTATTTTATGCAGATGTTCGTTTTCTTTCATCATTTCAAACTGCTCGGGCAGAAAAGAAGCTGAACCCTCAACCAGTTTCTGATTGAAAAAATGTTCTCTAAAAAATGTTCTCCTTACTCACCCTGTAAATTTAGCTAGAGAGAAAGCGATGGTCTTTCCATTTTTGAATGATGGGTTGAATAATGCTCTGCAAGTCTGTCTGTCTTGTCGCAAGTTTACCTCTGACCTGTCTGGTGAGTTTCCTGGTCTTCATGATGTGGTTTAACGTTAATGTTGAAAGAAATCTCTGAGGCCTTCAGTGACCAGCCTGATCACACTCTGGATATTATTTAAATGGTATCAGAGTAAGACTAAAAAGTCAGCTCGAAAAAAATTCTTGCTTCCAGCAGTCTGGGCTTTCTACCTTTGACTCCAATTGTCTCCGGTCAATATTAACAGGGCCAATCAGCGAACAGAAGGAGAAGTTCTAAACAATGATGTTGATTTTTTGCACTGTTTCAGAATTGCTGTCTGCCTTTAGTTTTACCAATGGCAGTAGAGGAAGTGATGAAAGTCATTCCGTCGTGTTGGAAACCCTTCCAAATATTGATTTAACATTAACAGCCGCCTTGTTCGGATGAGCACTTCTCTCTTTGCAGTGAAGAACTTTAGTAATTGGGTAAAACTTAAAACCTTAACACAGTCCATGCCTCCAAGAAGCATTTGTTTCTCAACAGCTGAGAGCCTAGACCCTCTGTAGGAAGTAATGTGTAGCAAAAGGAGCTGGTCTTTACCAGGCTACAGTAATACAGGTTGAATATAAAACTAGTCATTCTCACTGCAGACTTATTCAGCTGAAGTAAGGCATGAAAACTATGTATTTTGATTTCTTGCATAATTAGGGGTTTCTTTGTGTTGGTCTATCATATGAAATCCCAACAAAATACACTAGATTTTGTGGAAACAGGACAAAAGTGATGTGCTATGAAGAGGTTTAAGAGAAAATCATTTCCTCACCTTCTGTGTAATCTCTGCTGATATGCTCAGGGGAAGTTGACCAAAAGTAGCAAAGTTAACCAAAAGGTTAAGGGTCAACGACGGGGCAAGTAACGGCTGCTGAGGTTTTGGTGCCAGCAGATTGATAAAAGACTGCAGGTGGTCAGAAGGAAGAGGATGAGCCGCGCTGGAGAAAAGACTGTACAGGTGGTCCCACGCTGCTTTGGCCTGGACCTGGAGGACAGAAAGGTTATGTGACTAACCGTGACTTTCCTACGAACAAAGAGCAACACACTTATTATTTAGAAGAAATACAGAAGGTAAGCTTAATGCGAGATGAGCATGTCATCATAAGGGGTGGTGAGTTTCCGATGGTTATGAGAGGAGGCGGACAAACAGGAGACACGGAGACAAACCTCAGGCCAGCTGGCCAGACGCTCATTGAGAAATCAATAGTGCATTCCCCTTTTCACCCAGCTCCCCTTGCTCATCTGTACCGCCTTCTCTTCAGCTCTCCACTACCTCTCACATGGGAGAGGGCAGGGAGGGTGGTGTTGTCATCCATTATTTATTATTTAATGTATCTCCCTTTTCTGTGTTGGCTCTTTGGCTTTCAGCAACAACACACCTGTCTGCAGGAAAATAACAAACCTTCCACACCGTTGCCCGGTTGAGTTATGATGCTGCGCAAGCTTGATGAGATTTTATCCACACTGTGTCCACTCAGCTCACAAGACAAATGTCAGCACCTTATAACTCTGTTCTTCATAGTTTAGCTCCAGCAGAGCAACATAACGCAACTGAAGTTCACAGCATCTCATAACTTCTCAGACAGGCGAAAACAGACGTCTGCATCACATTTTCAAAGCACTTTCATCTAGTCAGTGACAGTTGGAAGCAAACAGATGCACAAGAAGGACAATATCATACATGAATGCATCACCTTGCAGAAGTATTCATAAATTTTCACTTTACAGCTCAACCTTCAAAGCATTTTGGGATTTAAGGCAATTAACCAACAAAATAAGAAAATGAGTGCAAAGTGGGGAAAAAATAGCTTAATCTCAGTCAGATTATATTGAGAGTGTGTGTGAATAGTCATATTTAAGGACTGCCACAATTTGGCAAGTAGCCCAAAATGTCAATGATGGTCTACATTTGATTGATTGATTTAACTTACTTGGTGATGGTAAAACAAAAAAAAAAAAAAAAAAAAAAAAAAAAAAAAAATGAAAGCAACATGAGCAATCTAAATAATAACACCTGCAACACAAGAGGTTTCTTTCACAATTTTTGTCCAGATACAAAAATCCCCAAAACAAGAATAAAACCAATAAGTTAGGTAAAAAATAATTAGTATTATACAAATTTAATCAAAAACCACTGAAGATAGGCACCAGCACCCTTCATGATCCCACAAGGGATAAGCGTGTTAGATAATGGGTGGATGAAATTAAATCAAAATTATATATATACATATTATTAAATACCCTAAACAAATATAACCACAAATTAAAAAGGGGTGTGTCAAATTCTCAGGCTATAACAGTACAAAGCTTTGAAAATATATAAACTTTTCAAATTCTTATTTGAACACAGATACAAAAACATGTATCAGATTTTTCACTTCATAATTAAGTTATTTTGTATTAGTTTATCACATAAAATACACTGAAATCTGTGGTTGTGAAGAAAATTTTTTGCAAGGTACTGCAAACGCCATTTATGAGAAAAACTCTCACCAGCTGTGAAGCTCTATGGTGCCACCTGTTGGTGGGGTGATGATAAAAGGTCAGTAACCAGAGAAGGGGACCACAGTCGTCGGGACCTGATGTGACCAGCAGTTGGACCACCACCTGCATCCAGTAGGCACACTGAACCAGCAGGAACCATGCCTCAAACACTTTATGGTTCCCTCTGTAGGACAGGAGGAAGAGCAGCGATCACAGGTTAACAGGTAATTAAATCTTTCATGAACATTTGGGGAAAAATAGTTTGGTGGTAGAGATAGATGTAAAAGTAATTCAGCAATGTTTACTTATTTTCACCTTGTCAAGATGAAAATTGTGAAGAGTGAAAAGATTTCTCATTTCAGGGTGCTATGTCTGTGTAAAAACAAAGAATCTTAGAGAAATTAGACCAGGGTGAAATGCAAACAGAGCAGTAAACAGCTCATTTACTCCAGTGATTTGGGTGGTCTGGTTTAATTCTTTTAACACCCTGGCACTAAACCCACCTAAGTCTCAGTTTTTCCACTATGCTATGCATCTCTCACTTTTATAAAAAAAACCCGCTGTGAAGTCATCACACTTAAAGTTGTATGACAACTTTAAGTGTTTCCTAGCAGCAAAAATGAACCCAACTTCAAAGAAACTATCATACAACAAATTATTACTATTATTGTCACCGTTGGGACAATTTACTAAAAAGTCAGTGTTGCTCCGACTAAAAAAATAAAATAAAATCAAGATAAGCATCATAAAAAAATCGAAAAAATTGTCTGCTTTAAATGCATCGCAGATACATACAAGCTTTCTTTGCTTCTGAAAATTTATTCTTATTTTTTTTCTAAAGCAGTTGACTGACATGTTGTTCAATGGACAGCTGATCAAATACAATACGTTTCGGGCAAGAGGCGGAGCATACCCTGGACAGGTCGCTAGTCTGTCGCAGGGCAACACACTCGCTCTCACCAGCTGCGATTAACCTTACAGTCATGTGGGAGGAAGCTTGAGTACCCGGAGAGAGCCGGAAATATGCAAACTCCAAGCAGAAAGACCCTGGGTTGGGAATAAAACCCAGGGTAACACTTGCCTTGCAACAGTTCCACTGTGCAGCCCTCACGTTTTATTTATTTTAATGTATTTTAAATATTATTTAATATAAGAACATATATATATTCAAAAGGTTGGTAGTGCAGCACACAAAGTGAATGGCCTGGTAAAGAAAAAGTACTGTGAACAAATCTTTGTCAACTAAATGATTAAAATTTTGACACAGTTATTCATCCCAACTAGAAAATCAACTCAAGCTGGAATCAGAATCGGCTTCAGAACGGATACAACAGGCTAATTAACAACAATTTTGAGGTCGCCTTCCTCAGCCTCAGCCTAAATTAAGTAACTCATAAAAAAAGAAGAGTTCAAGTTAAAAAGATCTGAAATTGATGGCATTCAAGCCTTTGACATTAACTTTGCAGTAAATAGTACCATTTTTCTTATTCTAAAATGTAAAAATAAACAAAAAAGGGTTCCAAGCAATAAATAAATAAAAGCCACCTACACTGCAACTATCTTCCTGCCATGTAAATATCTTCTATGATGATAACCTCTTGCTTTGTTCACTGCAACAGACATATTATCTGTCATGGTTAGCACAGGCATGCAATTCAAACTGCTAAAACAACATGTTGTTCAACAAGCACAGGAATGGTTTGTGTCCTAAACTTCAAAAAGCGAAAAGTCTCTTCTGTCATCAGTGTCCTGATTATGTATGATGACTTTTAAAAAGAGGAAATCATTTAGAGAGCTGGAGTGAATATGAAAAATGTGAAAATTATGTAGTGCTGTGACAAAAATAGATTGTAAACAATCTGGAAAATAAGAATGTTGCAGCAGACTGAGACTGAAGGCAATGTGAAGACTGAGGACTAAAGATGATTCTCAAATTTTCTCTAATACCATCATTTCTCTCCTCATCCTCTCTTCCACTTGGCTTCAATATACCAACAGCAGCAGCCCTCTGCAGGGCCTTGGCAGCAGTAAGGCACTATTTACCACCGCTGGCTCACTTAGAGACTTTTGAATGGAGCTTCAGATTCGAGCGGCGGCGGGATAATAGGCCCCGTTCAAAAACCGCATCCTGAGGGTATCAAGTCACCCGTCTCCATCTTTACGACATCATCTGTTTTTCTTTTTTTTAAATGTATGTTTTTCTACTCGATCTTCCTTTAAAAAAAAAAAAAAAAAAAAAAAAAGAGTTAATTCAAGACAACTGTACATGTTTTCTTTTTTCCATAGCGATGTTATTTAATGTGTGCACCTTCTCCCTGCTTTCTACTTCTTGTCCTGAATGACTTCTCTCACTATTTATTGGACCTCATAATGTCTCTTTTTTCCAATGTGCTCTTTTTCCCCCAAAGCAAATGGCCTCTAATGAATGCTTGGATAAGCCACACTGTGCTCCAGGACCGCTCTGCTATGATGCGACCACCATCTCAATGGCAACTAATGGAAATAGGAACACCATGCTAAACAGGGTTCCAACATGTTTCTGGAAGCAGACGCACATTAGCACATTTCGCTGTTGAGTCTCTGTGTCTCACCTGATGTTGCTTCTATCTGAGTTTTCCTCATCTTCTTCCTCCTCAGTCAGCCTCTGTAATGAGCTGCTGACCCACATCAGGTGGTTTTTCAAACTCTCCTGAGGCATCTCTGGAAAAAAAAAAACCCTCATATTAAATCAATGTAATTTCTATTTGTGTATTAAGAAAAGGACAAAAATACAAATAACTAAATTTTACTCTAAGATCACGATTAATGTGAATGCTCTACTTTTTATCCAGTACACTTTTTCCCACTTAACTAATTCTCCATACTATGTGCCATTTCAACCTTTCAATTATTACCTTATTCTGATTGTTCAGACTATGTATTTTGGTACTGACATCTTCTACAGTTTATGAAATATCCAGCTTTTTGCAATCATTTTTGGCCTCTTTGAAGTGCACAGAACATAATTCCTACCCTCCTTCCACATCTCAGTACAATCCTAAATTCACCTCTTTTTCCAAAGCTAATTCAAACCCTCCTTCTAACCCTGCTTAGCGTTGTAAACAATGTTTTGCATAGTCTTTGGCTGGAATTTTTGCATTGACTGAAAGTTTTCTCTTCTCTTCTACAGCTTTCTTCATTTGCATTTTGCAGGCTTTTGCCTTATTCTGCTGCTTCTTCCCATTTCTTACATTTTCGCACATCCTCTGCAGGTGACTTCAAATCCTTCTGCAATTAAAATATTAAGCGTATAGCCCTCACATTGCATTTTGAAAGGAAATGCATTTTTTTCTAGTTGTAATTACAATTTATACATGTTTTGTACCCCACCTCTAATAAAGCTAATGCTTCTTACCATGGTCTAGTGGAAGGAATTGTTATTGAACATTTTAAAGACAATTTATCTCCAATTACAGGAATAAACTTAACTACAACACAACCTGCAACTTGTTTACAGATTGAAAATGGACAAAATAGCAAGGGCTTGGTAATAAATGGGAGTATAAAGTACTAATTAATGCTATTTCTCTTGTTTTTAAGTTGCATTTCTTTCATGAGCAAATTATTTATATTGCTGCTTTCACAGTGAAAATTCACAAAGCAGTTTACGAAGACAACAACAACAACAACAAAAAACATGATTAAAATGAAAAAACAAAAAAAGAAATTAAAAGTGAAGCTGATACTTCTCACCACGGTCCAGTGAAAGGAATTGTTATTGACCATATCTAAGAAGACTCTAAATTCAAAGATACTTGAATCGAACGTCTTCCGCTTGTTTTGTTGTTTCATTGTTTTTGCTGTTGTTATTGAAAAGGAGAAAATAAAACAGCTATCAAGTTGTTTTGATGTTAGGAGCTGCATTTCGGGAAAATACTTTTCCTGTAACGAGGACATTTTCCTACAAGATGACACTTCAGCTCGACAAACTAACAAATATCTGAGGGTCTCCTTGGGCTAAGTATTAAGAATGCAATGCTATTTGTGTATTTATGACTTACACAGAATGGGTGAAACTGGGATCTTTCACCTTTTTACAATATCATTACTATTCAGTCCCTAGTGAAATATTACCTTTCAGCACAAACACACACGCACAGAGTAATAATTAACTGTGATTTCTGGCAGGGCTTCAGTGTGTCCCTAAATGGCTCCATTCAGGTAAATAATTCCTGCCTGTGGGCCAGTCTGGGCATACACTGATAAGCAGCATTTCTGCTGAGTTGGCAAAGCAAATGATTAAACCTGTGTATCGATCTTAGAGAAATAATCACACCTTACATCATAGTAACTTGAATAACTGACAAAAAATAGTTACTGAATAAGTATGTTACATATAAAGACACAAACTTGCTTATTCATTCTGTTGAAGAAAATCTGTTTACGCACTGCTAAATAACACGTCTGTACACTATTACTCTGGAGAGGTTTGGGCATTTCTCCCAGGAGTTAAGGCAGACAAACTCAGTGAAAGATGTATGAGCACACTGACCTGAAGGCATGGTAAAGAGAGGAATCAGAAGAGTTGGAGGGGACTGTGGGAAGAAGGCTTTTAAAGATGCAGATGTCTGAAATAGAGGGAAAAAAATTAACTGAATAGTGGAGATAAGACTTCAAGTCACTTTCTGCACCCTTCAAATGACATCCTGAAAAGCACGGTGATAATGCTTGAGCAAATGTGTAATGTGGCATGTAATACGAGCAATGTGACAACAACAACTGAAACAGAGGTCCATACAAACAGCATAACTCTTCCGTCGGCTCTGATTGCTCCTACCATAAATATCTATATTAACTATCTAGGCTTTTCCACATACATTTTTTTAGATTGTTTTGTTTAATCAAATTATAGAAATTTATTTTGAAAATGCACATAACACATTGTATTTGCACTGCTGCAGTCTATCTTCATAGTCCATGGAATCTCGAATATTAATCAACCGCCACTGATATTTTTAGTAGACTACTAAAAGTAGACACAATCTTTAAAAAATAAATGTATCTTTGTAATAAAAAATAAAAAAATTATTGTACCAAACTGCTGCAGCGTGTAAAAGTCACCTGCTGCAGTTGGTCATTGAGTTTCATACATTTCTACGTGCTATGGATCATTTCGTTTTCGTTCTTGATTAAGCCAGGTTTTAAAGTTCCCACAGACTAAAATGATCCAAAGTGTGGAGATACTTCAAGTCAGATAACAATGAATGGAGGTTTGAATGTCCTGTAAGCCTTGGATGCAAACCACAGCAGAACAAGGGCCATGCATGAGTATTTTGAAGAGGCGATAACCAGGGATTACTGATGAGCCTCTGAAGCTGCTGAATATTCTCTGTGAAGTTAGATGCATTGTCTGATGTTGAGAGGCACGCTGGTTGATTAACGCTGTGCCAACATGCTAATGTCTAGCCGATGGAACCAGTGGTTCTCTGGTTTAATTCCAGTTAAATGTCTAAAACATTGTCATATCTGAAACAAATAAAATGTAAACCGAGCAAACTCAAATATAACACAAAAACTTGATGGAGACAAGTTATTTGGAAGTTCTGTGCAAATACACCTTAAATATTAATGATCTTTATCATTCTAAGTAAATTAAACAGTCTGAGAGAAATACATTCTTTTTCATTTGGGGTTGTAAATGGAGACCTTTTTTTATTCCCAGTTCAGCCTTGTCATATTTGGTGCAGTGAACACTCACAGGCTTTTTCAGTTGTAAAAAATCAGAGCAACCAGGTATTCGGTTTTAGTTTTTGCCATTTTGGAGGTGAAATTATTTCATATTATTTCAAGTCTAAAGCTTTAGTTACCTTTGTTTTATCTTGTGCAATTAATTGTGAAAGCTTACTTAAAATTTTTTTGTTGAATAAAATATTATTGAGGATTTAAAAAGTAAAAAAAAAAAAAACTCATAGTCAGTTCTGATTTCTGTTTCAATTACTGTATCTTCCATAAACTACAAAAAAAAGGATATTTCACATCTTTTCTTCCAACTCCACAAACTTAGATGGGCTCCATTTAAAAATCAATAACATATATTCCATATCAGGGTTGATATTTTTCTGTTTTAAGTACAGGTCATTTAAATTGTGAATTTTGTAACATTTACACAAAATAAATAAATAAAACATTGATAAGATTGTTTTGGCACCTAATTCAGACCCAATTCAAAACTCTAAATTTAAGTTGACTAGAAACAAAAAACAATTTCTATGATATTGTTAATGCCAGAAACATGAAACACAAATTGTGATGAAGCGATTTTAGGAATAAGTATGGCATCAGAAATATAGTGAGCATTTAGGAATTCAGTTTTAGTTTTAGCTTCTGGAAAAACAAAGGCATTAAATATTAAAAGAAACAATTTTCCATACTCCATGGTTTCATTTATCGTAATTATTCAAACCTACAAAAAACAAAATAACCTATTTCCATCATTTTTATAACTTTTTTAAACTATCACCCTTGTAATTATAGATAAAAGTTAAGAGAAATATACAGCATTCACATAACTGTTTTGTAGATTGTATGTGAATTTTCAGTGTACCACATTTACTTGTCTCTTAATATTTATGTGTGACATGCAGGTGCCAGATAATTACAATATGGCCATGCAGGACTTCTAATTGGATGATAAAGCAACAGAACCATACTAAGGGCTGAGAGTTTCAGCTAAAGTACACAGTGAAATGAATGCATATTCAGGGCAGCATATGCACTAATCACTCCAGGTGATTATCTGGACAAAGGTTTTACATGTAAATTGATCATTTGAATTCATTGTCAGTCAAGTAGAGGTGTCAGCTATGGGAGTGTAGTATGAATAGTAGAGCTCTCAGCTGGAGATGAAGCAATAATGATGGTGAAGATTCATCAGCAGTGAATTTTCCTGCTGAGTGCAGAACATTATTCTCCACCTTAGGTGTTCAGCTAACCCTGTGGTGTAACAATAAGCTTTTTCTTTTTTTTATTTCAATAATGAATCCTTTTCAGTAACATTCTAAATTTTGTATAGATTTTCGTCTCAAGTTAATAGATATTAAAGACAATTTGATGCAAGATTTTATCATTTGTTATTTTTGCAGGCTTTTCGCTTAATATAGTGTGACTTTCATCACAACTAAACACTTCACTCTAGCATGTAGGAAAAATAGATTGTATTATCAAGAAAATATGGACATTTAATTTCCTTCTGCATATTTTATTCAAACTATTTTCTTTAGCAGAGAAGTTTAGCTCTATAGATATTTTTGATTTGTGTGTTCATTCTGATTGCACTTATTAGTTTATGTCACAATACAATATACATTTTTTTTTACCCTTTCCTCTTGTAAATAACCCAGGTTAAGCTCCTCATTTGTCTTTTTTTTTTGTGCTTGTTGCTTTTATTTTGTTAGTTGACTTCCGGTTTTTGAATTTAATGCTTTCATTTTAATGAGAGACCTTCCACTGTTTATGTTGTGCAGCAGCAGCTTGGCAACAGAAGGAACGGAAGATAAGTGGTGACAATGTTATAAAATGGATTTTGTTATTAGTGGCCTCCCTTGACAGAAGCACAGGTTACGTTTATTTTATAACTAAGATATTTCTAATATTGATCAATTGGAATTGTGATCTTTGCTTTATTGTATTTAGATATGTTATAGTTTTTGAATCGGTTAATGTTGTTGGTAGTGAACGTTGATTTCAGTTTTGAAACATTACGGTTGTAAGAGTGTGTTTTGTAGCTTAAACTACAGAACACACACTTTTTGTGTTTGTGTATGTACTAAAGCTCTTATGGTGAATCTTATGATTTACTTCAATAAACCTGACCGTTCATCAGTAAAGCCAAAATTCTTCATTTGGGAATTTTTCTTTTATCTTTGTCACTATAAGAAAAAATAAAGTGCTTTACTGACTCTAATAAGCCATATAATAAAGCAACAATGTGAGTCTCTTTTAAAAGGCAAAATAAAAAAATCCGTCTTACCCGAGGCTGCAGTCGTGAAAGCTCCACGAAGAAGAATTTGGTAAATGTTTGAAAAACATTTTTAATACGCTCATTCCTTTCAGTCTGTTTAAGAACAGTCCTGCCAAAAGTGGGGGCAAAAAAGAACACATAATATTCAGCATGAAATTCAGCATGGGTTAAATAACACCTTAAATTCAAATTAAATCCACGGCACTTACCTGAAGATGTCATTTACAACCAGGAATACTGAACAATGCTGAGCACAAGCTTTAGGCTAAAACACACAAAAGGGCAAACTTTACAAGCTATGGCCATACATTTTAAAATGCATCAATAATATCAGAAGGTTCAGAAAACTATGGCAAAAATCTATCACTTTTTAACGAGTGCTTAACCACCAGGTGACACTGTTGGACCATCTAAATGATTACTTTTGAAATCAGTTTCTCTGTTCTCACTTTCTCCTCATTAAACACTCAGTTTCCCACTCTGTCAAGCCTCCCTAACACTCCCACATACTCATTTTCTCATCTCCTCCTAATCCACACTCATCATGTGTTTCAGATTTAATACATTCTAAAACGCCCCAGTGCAAACATTTAACAGCTGTACTGTGCATGTCGCTAAGTCCCTAAATATTTGGCGCTCAACACACAACACATATAATACCATGTGGTTAACATGTTATACACCTCACAGGCTTTACCCCAGCAGAGCAGTACAGTAATAACAGATGAATGCATGACACATTTGAATTTACTTTTTTGTTTGTTTGTTTTTGCATGATTTACTGGCAGCTGGTGATAAATCAGTAATTTGTGGTTTAGAACGCATTAAGAGTTGGGACTTGATATACTGCAGGTAAAATATATAATGGCTCTATGTCCAGATATGAACAAATGAGGAGTAATCTGATTAAACAGAGGGGATAAAACTGCACATAGCATCACTAACAGTTATTAAATGAAATGGACAAAAGACCAGGGTATGAGTCAAATTATAACAGAATTAAACAACAAATAGTTCCACCAAGTGTCCATACAGTGTAATTACAACCACAAAATACTCCAAACTTTATTCTTACAAAACAAGACCAAGCAATTGCCCTTTGCATGTCTCAGCAAAGGGAAATTGTTTAACAAATATGGAGAAAACATATTTTTTATTAATGTTATATACTGCAGCTTGAATAAAAAGCAACTGCATAGCATTTTTTTGAGAACTCTGGATTGCTTTATGTGTACTTTGCATATTGCTCATGGAAAGAGACATTTCAGTAATCTAAAACTAATAGAAAAAATTTAATCTACCTACTTGCATACTGTATGCAGTCTGTTGGATGTAAAATTCATGAGCAGTAAATATTGTGCTAGTTATCAGTATCGGACCAAAGAAAGCAAGGCAGTTGCAAGAAACTAAATTGTGATGCTTTTGATGGGTCAGATAGACTCAAATAATTGTAACAGCAGCTGCGTGGGGGGGCCCCAATTTAATTTTTTGTCAGGGGGCCCAAGATTCCTGGCAGCACCCCTGGTGTGAAGTATCATGAATCCTAAAAGCTGCTTTTTTAGCATCCTCCTTCATACCTTACGACTATGAAAGAGGTATGACTTCAAGGAGAGTCAATTACAGCACACAACAAACATCCTGTTTTTTTTTAGCAGTCTGGGGCAGGAAGTGAGTGTTTATTGTTATTGGGCCCTCTGCCTGGGTCAGAAGGCGGTAGGAAAAGCCAAAATGAGGAATGCGAACGCATTTTTATGTTTCCTATTTTTGACTGTAGTATAAACAAGTTCGAGAAAGGCAGGAAAGTGAGGGGATGGACAGACCCCAGACATCTCAGATTTCTTTACTTTTTATTTTTGTTTAGAAGTATCCCACACAGTCATATAAACAGTCACATGAAACCTGAACCTCCCTTTTTCTTAATAAAAACACAATGCCAGATGTAATATTATAATCAAAACCACGACATGAGTGGCTGATGGACTGAATTAACACAAGGGCACATACATTTGAATTAAGAGCGTACATGGGATCCCAAGATACTAGATGAAAAGAAAAAAATTACCTTTCAGGTACTTTGTTAATGGTCAGTTAATTCCATTTGGAGATGCAGAATGAAAACCTACAGTTCAGGCACACTTGAAACTAAATTTATGACAGAACAGTTACTCCCAACCCAAAATGGCAGATTTAATCAGATTTATCAGGCAGGTTTAATTTCTGTATTTGTAAGCCAAATGAATATGCACTAGTGTGCACTGCCATCTCTTAATTTGTGAGCAGTATCTCTAAACACAAAGGGTGTGCAGTTCCCCTTGATATATACACAGGTTAAGTGGACCATCACTACTGAATGAAGTAAGCAGCACCGCTGCCTTTTCAAAACAAAAGGCAGGTAAGTTTGTCTTTCTCATTTAACTTTTACTGACATCCCAAAATGCCAACAAGTGCAATCAGAAAGTGAGGTAAACAAGATGTCAGTAATAACCTTTGTGTGAATAATTTTATGGATGTGTACAGACATTTTATGGTTGTGTGAATAATTTTATGGATGTGTACAGGGACTACATATAGACATCCATGCTTTGGCAAGATTCAGAATTTGCTTTATTAAATTTCTGTTTTCTGTGACAGGTTAAATTACTTCACACTGATCCTAATCTCCCAGTGACTATAAAGTAATCCTGGAAAACAACTTGCCAGCCTCTCTTTGGGCAACAAATGAAGAAATTAAGTTCAGTAACGGCAATTCTAAAGTAAAAAAAAAAAAAGAACATATATGAAGCCATGTGAAGTGACGAGCACAGAGCCATTGAAGAAATAGTGAGTATAATATCACACAGCCAAATGATGTGAGATGTGATCTGGAGCTTGCCAAATTATGTGAGAGGCAAGCAGAACAAAAGCCAAAAGTAGATCTGACAGGCAAAGCACTCAATAATGACCCACCCCAAAAAATACAATGGAACATTCCTAAGATCCTCACTTATTAAAATTGTTGAGTTTCAGTTTACAAAGTGCTTCAAAGGGGAACTGAGCACAAATGGATGTGTGCAATGGTTTCTCTTGTGAGACTCTTTAATTTGAGGCAGATGAGACCCTGTGTACCAAAAAACTAATTTAACAGGAGCAACATATTTATCAGAAGCTTATCAAATGGATCAAGTGTTATCAAATCAGGCAGCAGAGAAAATAACAAAAATGCTGCAGCACAGAAGATAGGCAAATAAAAAGTTATAACAATTCAACAGTTTCACTTTCCCTCCCTCCCCTCCCATCCTCCCTTTAATTAATTAAAAAAATGCAAAATACAACAAGTTTGTTAAATGTATACCGTTTTGTTGACACCTTCAAACATAGGGACAACATCTGTTTGAAAACATTCATTTTGAATTCTGTCTCTTTAAATCCCGCCTCACTAATGACTCGATCTGTTCTGCTTGGTCAAATATGGTAGCGTATACAATAGTGCCTCGACAGCTGTTTGTCAGGTCCCACTGTCAGATGTGGAAAGTCAGACATGTTTCTATAATCATGAGAAGAGGACCCACCAGTAACGACTTTGACACTTGCTCCTCCACCTTGTTTGGTGTTGATTCTGCTTTAGTAGCAGACTCCAACAGACTGAGCACAGCTTCCTCCAGGCTGTGTAAGCTCTGACACCACAGAGAAACAACTGCCTGCTCGTCCAGTAGCAGGTCGCATCTGGAAATATTTGAAGGGTTATGTTTTAAAATAAAATTTCATAATTTTGCACTATTTAGATAATGACACATATGCTATTAGTAACTTGATCTTTTTTTTGACATTTTCAGGAGAATTGAAGCAGGCAGTACAAGAACCACTAAAATATACTGCAGCTGAAAGTGAGGAGTAGGAAAAACCTTACTTAGACGGGATGTCAGGAATGGGTAGATAGTTACCAGAGGTGTTTCCCTGCAGCTATTTCAGTCAAAGGGGGTAAAGCCACTTATTAGGTAGGAGGGTGTTCTAAATTTTTCCTCCTCAACAAGGTTAACAATTATCGTTTGAGTACAATTAAATCCTTTTCATCTCCAAATTGGACATCAACATATTAAAATGTATTAATAAAGACTTAAAAATTGTATTCAGTATTCAGTTTTATTCCACAACTATAAGATTTTACAGCATTTCTGAAAATCTCCCAACTTTTCTAGTAATGAAGACTTTACATCATTTTTAGAACTGTGACATAAAATAATTCTTAATAAGTACAACATTGTACACCACTGAGACACTTAGCATATTTTTCTCAAATATAGCAGCACAAGCTAAAATTGCAGTAGAAACATTTTCGGTACCTTGAGTAGGCAGAATGTAGAGTATCAAGGAAGTTTTCACTCAGACCTTCTCTGATGCAAGTCATCTGCTGTTGCAGCAAAGCACCAATAAGAGGAGATGCTTCAGGACATGTGATGAGAGGCACACAAGCCTCAGACGCAGCCCAAATACTGCCACATGAACACCTATGTGGAGTTTTCAAAATGTTAAAGTTATATTACTGTGGAGACAGAACAATAGGAGGTGAAGATTAGAGTTAATGTTTGCTGATCTTTCCTGCATTGCTTTGTTTTTCATTTAAAGTCTACTCCTTCATAAAACCCCTAAAAAGCACAGACCTAGTAGTAATGTTCTTAACAGAACGTTTTATTGCACATATTTATAGTGTTTATTTCTTAGGGTTTTTTTGTAAAGAAAGTACTCTACATTAATGAGGCAGACATTAGATCCTAACATTAAGATTCAGACAAGAAGAGAACACTCTAAAAATAAAAAAAGAATAATTGATAATTGTACCTTTTTCAACGCAAATGATGTCAAATTAACATACTAATCGTTGTAAGTCACATAAATTTGGGAAACGTTTCAATTGTGGGAATGTGATGCACTACTGATGTCTGTAACTGATTAACAGATACTTTTAACTTCTTTTTGTATTTAGAGTATTTCATTTATGTATGTTTTTGTTTTATTGATCAACTTTCTTGCAATTTCAGTCAACAGAACAGAAACCAATCTACCATGATTACAGCTTGTTTGAATGTGAATTATATTCACCCCTTATTTGTGCTGCTCTCAGAACACCGACTATTCCCAATGCTTTTCTGTATTCTTGTCACCATCTGAAATGCAAGAAATCAAAATGAAATGCAAGTATGCTTATAAACAGAAGCTATAGAAACAAAATACCTTTCTCAGCACTTTAAGATGGTATTCTTTGGTTGGCACTCCTAAATGCTTCATCAGGTCCACGGCTGCACCATCTTCTTCATCTGTAGCCAGATGACACAGGACTTTCTGTGATGGAGCAGAAGAAACAATATGCAGGTTTGGCATGTCATGAATGCAACCAAATCATGAATGCAACCAAATCAATTTATCAAAACCAAAAGTTTCAATAAAGTAATCTAATTAGTTACTGGAAACTCAGATGACTATGTCAGCATCACATCATTTGAAACACATGAGTGGAAAAAAGGTATTCCAGTATGAATGAGTATGAATGCATTGGCAGCATAGGAGTAGAAGTAGAAATGAGCATTCTTTGTAACAGACCCTTGCCGTTTTACAACGGGGCCTCATGATAATTTGATACACAAGAATAATGAACCCAACCCATAATCAGCTGCGAACAATGTTGGTTGAAATGAAGCAAAGCAATCCACTCAAAGTATATGGTAAGAACATAAAGTGGACAATGCCAACTTTATTAATATAGCATTTTTTAAAAAGCTGCATAGCAATGACCCTGAAGTGAATCTGTGGGAGATACAATGACTTCATAGAATTTAAAACTAAAAGTTCGAATGCAGCAGAAGAAAATAATTAAAAAAAATACAGGAAACAAATACAAAATAAAAATTCTGTTAATCTCCAACCGAGGTACAGGACTCAGAGAGAAGCATGATTTTAAAAGTGTCTGAGAAGTTTCTAAGGTCTTGGAAGTTATTCTATTGGAAGGCAAGCCATTTACCAAAATAGAAGAACCACCTGAAAAGCCACTACCACCTCTGCCTTTTGGATTAGATGCTGTGACCTCTTAAAAACACCTTAGAGTGGTTCCCAAAAATGGGGTCTGTACCCCAGCCAAAAGTTAAAGGTCTTGAGATAATTTCAAGACATCAAATTTAAATTAAGGATAATTGCTAATTGCGTATGTTATTGCAAAATTAGACAATCAAAAAGTAATTGAAGGATATTGGCAGTATAATTGTTGTTAAAGGTCAGCTGTTTTCCTCTCACTGGATTCAAAGCAGTGTTTGAATGCTTTATATATATAACTTTGTGGTTGTGTTGTGCTTGTATGCGTGTGTGTGTAACCTAAGAATACCAGATCAAAAGCTTGTTCAAGTCTTTGAAACAACCCTTTTAATTTACCCATAAGAAATAGACTTATTAATACAAGCTGACTACCTAAAACCTGACATCTTGATTACACAGCAAAACCATGGCATGTGGCTCACTAAGTAGTGAAAAAATACAAACTGCTTTGAAACACCAGAATAAAAGACAGAAGGAAATAAGAAGAGAAAGACATTGTGAGATGTTGAATATGTATAAAAAGAAGAGATCAGTGAAACCTAAATCTGAGGAAAAGTAGTACTGCAGAGCTGTTGGTGCAGCCCTGTGGTTTCTTTGGCCTGGCTGTGCAGCACGCTAGGATGCTTACCCTCCACATAGTCTCACAAAACCACCCCAATCACTACCATCTGAGAGCCCTCAAACCCAGCACATATAGTACATACAAAACCAATCATACTCAACCCACAGTTAGTGAGGAGGCACAGTGGGGATGAGGAATGAGAAGTAAGGAAGGTTTGGTTAGAATAAGTATCAGAGACAAAAAGTCACTGTGATGTCTGTATTCTGAACAGGGGAAAAAGTGTGTGGTCACCAGAGGAATGGGATAAAGAACAGAAAGATCGATGGGTGGCAAATACTTTAGGTCAAAAGCCATCTTTCTCACACAGAAAAAAGCAACTTGAATTGGCTTTGGGGACAAGTTACTGCCATAGAAATGATCCCCCATAAATCTAAAATTAAAACAGAGGATGTAAGAAAAAAGGCATGAGGCAAAGACTTGGGTTGCTTTGGATGGGTGTCTGTTAACAATTACAGCACCATGATTGAAAACCAATGACAGACTTAAGTATAGCCTCAGATGGTCAAAACAGCAGAGACAAAAAAGGGGAGATGAAATCGCTGGAAGAGCACAAATAAAGAATTTGGATCTCTAAAAGCACTGATTTAGAACCAACTCAACCTCAAACTTAGTGTAATAAATCTGTATGCCCGTCCATTATTTGCACAACACCCACTAACAATCGAGGGACTATATAGAGTTAGCCCACATAGTTGATGGAATCCAAAAAAATGTTAAGTGTTAGTTACTTTTAGAAAAAATAAAAAAACAATCCAGCCCTCTTGTATATTTCTTTTTATGCACAGTTAACACACTTTGCCTTTCAAAAGTGTTCATACCAAAGCAACATGTTCACATTTTGACCAACGCACCCACAAAATTCAATGGATTTTACAATTAGAGCATTATTAAAGCTAAAAGCAAATACTTTATTTTTGTAGCCTTTTAAGAACATTGTAATTTAAATTAAAGCCGCTAGCGGCGTCGTGCGGCCCTCGCAGCCAAGCACCGCTCCGGCCTATTGGCCACTGCGGGGGAAATTTCATGTCTCTATGATAAAGTAAGTGAATAGCAAAAGGTCCTTTGAAAATTGCTAGGTGGCGCCGTTTCTTGTGGGATTTTTGCAACGACCTTAAAATACGAAATTTTTATCCAGGCTTAAGGCCTCCGCCAAGTTTGGTGAGTTTTTGAATATGATAAAGCCTCCCAAAAGCCAATTCATTTGGAGGGAGAATCGTAATAATAAGAAACAGTACAAAAACAATAGGCCTTCGCAGCGCTTTGCTGCTCGGGCCTAATTAGGAACCACTCAATTTAATGTGGCATTTGGGTCAGAGTGTAAGTGCCGTTCAGAAAAGCTTAAAAATGTGACTTAAAACTTATGTGACTTATCTCAGTTTCCACAAGCCAAATTGTTTATTTTTACATATACTTTACTTCAATTATAATACTGTACTGTCATGTTTTGGCTTTCATAGTTACATATTGAGCATAAGTGTTATTGTGCGACTGTTTTATTTTTACATATTTCACTGGTCAAAAACTGATAAGCTAATGCCTACCACAATGGTTAGTTATTAATTGGTAATCCAATTCCAACTCAACTTATTACTAGACCTGTATTGAAGTATTTTAAGCAACACTGAATCAAATTTATATTGATTTGAACTCTGACCCAAATAATTGAAAAATTAATTGAATTGTGAGATTTTTAGCAACACCTAGCCTTAGTCCTGAAAGTTTATTGTAAGCTCAGCAAAACATATTGAGGATGGATTTTAGTTAACTCTTAGAAAATCTCTGTAAAAACACAGAACCTGTTTAAATGTGCATTACCAAGAAGCTGGAAGTGAATAATCTAACAAAAATATTGTAAGTACACCACTCAGCCACAATACAAATCACAAAACAAAATAATATGAAGCATATTTCCAAAAAATTAATAAACTGCAAATATTTTACATTTAGAGACTCCACAAAATTAAGACCGTGCAGAACTTTTGAAGACAGCCAACCACAGAGTAATGAGGTTTCTTTATTTATTTATTTATTTTTTTGATATTCTTTTAGCATTTTTGAAAAGATGAAGAGAACGAATTAAGGTGATCATCCAGGTGCCTGGAACCATAAAGTGTATTTTAGTCGTACAATGACACTTAAAACAAAGCTAATATGAAGAGGGAATGTTTTTATTTTTAATAATAAAATGTAAACTTAGCATGAGCAAACAGCTGCAAATATACAGTATAAAGTGTCTACAGTCGCTGCAGGAAATATTTGTGGTTCCTTGCGCAGCTAAAGAGCAGATTAAGCTATTATTCAGCTGATTGTTTGGCTATCTAAAATTACACCCTCTTTACTTACACTCTTACTCGCCTTACTGTCATCTTCTCAAAGATCATTTTACTGCAGCACTGTGAGGTCTTTTTACATGTGCAGGATGTTGAGAAACAGACCAACAGAGTTAATGACTATCAGCCCGGAGCTTTGTGGCTATACCCCAGAATTTATCAAACCCTATGTGAAAACTCAGATGTGGAGAAGAGAGACAGACAGGAAGCTGAAGTAAAGGCAGAGAAATACTGTACACACTTCAATTGGGAGAAACATGCTGCTGCAAACATACAACAGCAAAGAAACTGAAATATTTCATTAAATTCTCAAAATGACCTAAATGCACATGAACAAAGCATTTGGATGCCACATAGCAGCTGATGATCAGTTTCTCAAGAAGGAAATAAGAAAACAATGTTGAGGAGCACGATCAGTCAAGGATAACAAAAAACAGGCTTTGCCTCACATTCCAAGACAGGCAGCGCTGTGCAGACACAGAGACAAAGAAGGAGCATCTCTGACCTAAAACAGATTATCTGCTCTGCTCTCCCCAATAGACAAGCTAGGTTGTTGCAAAAAGATTCTGCTGTGCTTCTTGTCACTCACATCACTGGTGGTAAATGGAACATTCTTCAAAACATAAAAGGAGAGAATGCAGAAAAGCTGCAAAAATGACAATGACTGTTGTACAAGATGTTATTGGATCCTTGAAAATCTTGTTCTACACCTATGAAGTAAAAAACAAATAATTTTCAAGATCACATACATTTACATACATTTGTATTCAACCCCATTTACTCTGTTCTTTTATAAAAATTTGATGCAACCAATTTCCTTCCCTGTCAGTCAATAAAGAACTTTTATTTTGATAATCTGAAAGTATATTTGCAATAATATAGCTAGATTAACTTTAATAAATAACCATGGAACACCAAATATATTTATATTTCTAAATATAATCGAAATCAGAAGTATAAATAGCCCAGATAAGTTAAATCAACCCACTCGTCTCTTGTTTTTGGTCAGAATTACTAAAATTGTTTCTATTTGTTGAACAATGACAGAAAGAATTTGTCAGATTTATTCATTAATACCTTCAAAAACATAAGTTTACCTAGAGAATGAGTACCATCTCTTTGAACTACCAAGGGAACCCAGATTATGGTTTCATGGTTTCGCAAACTTCTGTTGGGTTTACTGACACACTTGAGTTAATTGGAGATAGATGGATGTATTTCAAGGCAACACCAGGAACAATGGGGAAAGTCTCTAGACTTCCCCATCTTCTTGGGAACAATTTGAAGATGCTTGAATGTTGAAAGTTCATCTGTCCAAGCAATTATTCACAAGTACAGAAGTGGGTGGTGGTGGGAATGTCTAATCATCATACCACTCAGGAAGGAGATTAGTTCTGTGTCCCGGAGATGGATGTGTTTTGGTCTGAAATATGCAAATTGGCCCCAGAACAATAAAATAAGCAACTAAATAGTTTGTGGTTTTCAAATGCAGCTAGAGCCAAAGACCTTCATTTTTGGAGACGTGTTCTGTTGTCAGACTAAACTAAAGAGAAACTATTAGGCCACAATGACCATTTTTACATTTGGAGGAAAAATGCAGAAGCTTGTAAGTCTGCAATCTTTTTACAGCCTTAATACAATTTCAGTTATTGTCAATATTATTGTACCTTCTACACTACTGAACATTTGGCCAGTATATCCTGCGCAAAATATCAAATATGACCACACATAAAAACATCTTGACACAGATGCAGACACCACTGTGCTCACTTGCACTCAGCTTCCCCTCCAACAGGTCAAAGAACATCTGGCAAAATTCAAGGTTTACTTTCTCGGCTCTGTTTTAATTAGCAAGATGTTTTATTAGACGAGAAATTAATCAAAAGAATACAAACACACAGTTAATCTGGCAGAAATGTGAAGGTTTCACATTGTTTATCATGAGCCATCTGTGTGAACCCTCACAAAGTTGAAAATGGCAGAAGCTTTCTTCCCTCTCTTCTCTTTCCCTCCTCTCTGCGCTCGCTTACAGAACACACAGGGCGCTTTGCTGGCTAGCATTAATATGAAGGCAGATTCTTAAATGATGACAAGAGGCTGTGAAACAGTCACTTTTAATTTGACTTTAAAATAGTGAAACATAGTTGGAGACTATGCAGACTAAGACCATTAGAGACACAATCTACTCAATTCATTGTGTATATTAAATTGGATTGGAAAGACAGAGATGGAAAGCACATCCCTATTAAAATAAATGAAACAGAAAATCTCTTCAGCAGTCCAGAGGCTGTCAAAGAAGAATTATTTTGAGATCTTTTTGTTAAAATAATGTGTTTTATTACCAAGTAATCTTTATGTCAAGTCATCCAGAACACAAACAATAAAATGACCCAGCCTGGTGTGATGAAAACTGGCTTATGAAAAAGATCTGGAAGAATACACTGTTGCGCACGATTTACCACAAGTAATTCAATATCAATAATGGCTGGAAACTCAGGAGATTTTGTCACAATTTTTTTTCTAACTTTGCTGTGCAGTGGCCATCAGCTGTGCAATTCTGTTAAACCTTTGCTTATGTCCTCTTTACACAAGATTAGAATTCTAGTACAGTTTTCAGGATCTCTAAGAAGGTAAGGATATGCAGTCTCCTACTCTCTTGCACTTTGTTGTCTCCTCGCCATTAAAGCAAAGTCCTTAAAAATATGGGTGGTTTCCGCACCTCCACCATCAGTTTCAGCCTGCCTGATTGAGTAAACACCATTTCTCCCTGTTATGAGCCATATTCCATGGTAAAATGCAGCACAAGAAGTAGATACGCAGTGTCAAACACATGCAATAAATTAAACTACAAAGACCAGTCCCAGCTAAGAGTGGGAGTCATTAGGTTATAAACTTGGCACAAAAATAGTCTGGTCGTTCCTCCTTCTAAATCTCCATTGACCAAGCTGGCCAGGTCTGTGTAAGGAACAACATCTAAACATCTACACGGCTAAAGTAGCCGTTAAAGAACGCAATTTTGGAATTTCGGTTTGGATGTCTTGTTTTATTCTACTGCACCAATAAAACTTGAACTGTTTAATAAGGAGAAACTTTCAGTTTTTATTTAGAAAAATTTTGCAAACCATCATTTTATTTTGAGTATTACTCCTCTTAATTAGAAAGCAGATGACCAAAGGCACAAAGAAGGTAGAGCCTGGTGAATGTGTATGCCACAGACAACAGGAGCGCAAAAATGGAGGCGGCAATTAAAACGTACAAACTAGGTCCTATAAATTAGCACTACTTAAAAGTTTTACGCAGGAGACCAACTTACTGTGAATGTGGAAAACTGCCTGCTACATCGTAACTCTATCTGCCTCACGTTCAGACTTGTCATGGATGAGGAGATCCAGAAGCAATAAGTAACTATTTTTCTGTGGTTTCTATAACAGCTCTTCTTATTGAGAGATAATTACAAATACCTACTTTAAAAACACCCACGCTAATAGTATTATAATTAACTTGGGTTTCAATGTCTCTTTCTTGTTTGTCTTTTTAATGATTTAATTATTTTTTGCTTTGCCTTGTCATGTTTATCTATCTAGCCCAAATGCATCAAATATAACTGTTTTCCCTAAAACAATTAAGTCAAGCTATATTGTGATTGAAGGATGATTCCCTTCATGTCATATCATTTTGCTTTCTGTATTTCCATCCATCCATCCATCTTTCTTCTATACACCCTTGTCCCTAGTGGAGTCAGAAGGTCTACTGGTGCCCATCTCCAGCAAATATTTCAGGCGAGATGCAGGGTACACCCTGGGATAGTCGCCAGTCTGTCACAGGCCATCAGTATTTATGTAATGAATGTCATCACTGGTGATAAATCTTGGCCTGTGTCTAGATACATCTAGTTTTGCAGAGTATAGCTGCGAAACTAATAAATAACCACCACCTTCTGACCATGTAAGCATTATGCATACGATGGGACAACCCTCACGCTTCAACATATATACTTGAGATACAATTGTGGTTTTTTTTACGCCCCAGAAGACTTCAGAAGGCATGTTTTTATATTAGCGTAGGTTTTAGCAGAGAAAAGATCTAATGGCATTCGGAGTATGTTTGTGAATTATTATCCAATGTATTTATTTAATTTTCCAAACAAAGTGTAAGAAGTTCCAAAAGTTAGTAGAACAGGGTTTTGGTACACTTGAATTATTTTGATGTTATTAAACAATAGCCTGATTGTACCTTCTCTCATTTTAATAACATTTATGTATCTTTTAAATGGAACAACTATTTACTTGTACATTTGGAAAATTAGCTAAATATTGGTCAATAAAACACATTAAATAATGGCTAATTTGTCAAGCAGTTTATTTTAAAAGATCAGTTTCTACCTGTATCCACTGGTTGGCTTTTGTTTCCACTGCATTGCTTGGATACTCAGAATACAGAGCCAACAAACACTGGAGGAGAAGTCTTCTACTTTCATCTGCAAGACACACACAATATTTACCAATTTTCTCAAGGTAATTTTCATGTTTGTTTCTTTTTGACAGTATGTTTTAAAAAGATAAAGTAATGCCCAAAGCATAGATTCACCTTCTGCAGTGACATGAGGGTTCCAGCACAGCCGGCCTAAAAGCTGACCTAATAATGGAAGCGTATTCAATGTTTCTGTTGTGGAGCTCTAAGAAAAACAGAATCAAAAGGAAAGAAAAAAAGACATAAATTAACATTTAAGCAATTACAAAAAAAAAAAAAAAAAACATTGTTAAAAAAAATAAAATAAAAAATTCAGGCATTTATATTTAAATAGCAGTGTCTCATGGAGAAAGACTAACGACTAATTTGAGAGGATGAGATCACCACCAATGGGAATCATAATGGTAGGTCAAGCAGAGTTTAAATAGAACCTAAATACCCCAGCTATTGTCTGCAACAACACAGTTTCTGTGTGTTGCTCAGCCCTCACATTTGGCCTCCGGATTGCTGAATAGTCTATGGTAAATGCTGTATGGTAAACGTCTGTGTGCGTATGTGTGTGCGCGCGCGTGTGTGTTGCTGATGCAACAGAGAAAGAATGCTCATTTACAATACAAACTGTTGAATGCTCTGTGACTGAAGGAATGCCCATAAGAATAAGCCATCACAAAAGAAAGCAATTACGACCGACTACCAGGGCACAATTGGCATCAAAGCCTCACCAGCACTGTCTCTAATTATGACCATGTATCTTGTTGTAATTACAACCAGACATTCTTTGACAGAAGTGACTGATTACATACTGGCCAAGGAGCCTAAGGAGACATGTTTATAGATGAGAATGAAATAGATGGTGAAGAAAGACACCAACATGAAAAATACATATAAATCATGCATATGTATTTTAGGGTTTATCTAATATGTGAAGCTCTAAACTGAGACAAGTTTGACAAGAAAAACAATGAAAATGTAAACTTTTGTCTTTTTAAAGGATAGATGGAAGTGAATGGCTCCATTGCATGCACAAATTATATCCATGTTTGTTTCTACTAAAAGAGCAAAGAAAAGCAATCCAATGAGAAGTTGGTTTTCCAATTTCAGAATTTGCAGAAGGATGTATCTGATAAGCAGCTGGAGAAAAGCCCTGGATTTACCTCGAGGCTCTTCTGAGAGCCGCACCTACACAATAACTGTGTTCAAGTTTAATTGACGGAAAGAGAGCTTCTTCCCAGCATGCGTGGGAGGGTAGTACACAGACTAAAAGAATGAGAACCAGCCAATCACTCCAATAAAACTTCAGAGACATTACTCCCACAGCAATGGACCCAAACAAATCAAGTATTAGCACGTTTGTGAGTGTGTTATTATTAGACATGCTAATCCTGTAATGTATCAACAGCTTTATGTTTTATAATTACATAAAAAAGATAAATTCTTCTTCAAAAAGAGTCAAGGAAATAATAAATTAAGTACAAATTGTTTTATTGTAAATTCTTTTATTGGTGCTGCTACTGCCAAAGACAATTTTGAAACAGAATACATTTCAAAATATATTTCGGGGCAATCGTCATGACAGTACTTCAAATACAGCTCAACATGGTAGCCACAACCAAACGTTGTTCAAACGTGTGATATTAACCTGAAAAATCACACACTACAACTTACAGAGCAGATGTGTGGATCAATGGGTTGGTGAATGAACAGACGGTCCGATGGATGGACTGATTCAGCAACTAGATAATATTTTAAGAAATACATTATGGAAGTTCAAAAATATTACTCTACTCCATCTCCTTCTCTGACTGTGTAGGTATACTGCACTGCACTGGCATCAGCTTGAAACAGTATCAATCCATTCTCATAACTCAAAACAGTTGTAAAGTGAAGTGGACCGCAAATTAGACCTGTCACGTTAACAGAATTTTCTGGACGATACATTTCTCCACAATAATACTGTTGAGACCATCACTGTGAAAATGGAAACCACTGCATCTGACAAGGAAATGGCTAAAAGAAAACGAAAACTCTGAGAAGTTAACTTTAAGCATTGGCTTTTGAGAGTGTTGATGTCTTACAATCATCCTCACCTGTTCTAAACATGTATAGAACCTGGAAATGAACAATAGGATTATTTCACATATTGGGTCATAAGCCACAGGAAAGCTGTAAAGATATCAAAGGATTCATATCATTGCCAAAAAGTGGGTTATCCTCAGCTGGTCTTTTATGAGCCCATTGCGAAGAAAAAAAGATTTCAATGCAATTAAGCTTTACCATACTGTTTCTTTGCATGTGCTCCATAACTTTGCTCATTCTGACTCATCTGCATTACGCAGAGCCAGAATTATGCTGACAGAAAGAGAGACCTGCAGGGAAAAAAAGCGAGGGTTGATCTATAAAAATATACTGGTGATTCAAAAGTCGAAGCTGAAGTAATAAGTCAAATATAAACAGAAAACTGATTTTTAATTACTTATTAAATGCTTCAGTAAAACATTGGAAAATTCAAACCATAATTTCCAAGGGCAATTTAATATGGATAAACAGAAAACAAAGATTTAACTGGAAAGCCAGTCTTAATATACGAAGGAATAATCTTAAATGCTGTGAATCACCGAGTTGTTGGGGGAAAAAAAAGAAGATTTGATCAAAAAGTTCAGGAATCTCTGAGAACAGCGGACCTTCTTGTCCTCGGACCTCTTCCCAGATTTGCTGGATCTGATATAGGGATACATCAGGTTAGCACTCAAGGTCCCACTGCGGCTATTACCTAACTAACCCAACACTGAGAGCTGCCAGCCAGGCATACACTGCCTCAGCAACACACAGAACAGCGTCTGTTAGCAGGACCCTTCCATTGAATGAATTACCATTCAAGCCTTGGCTAAAACTCAGAAGGTGTGGGTGCATGTTTGAGCAGACTTGATAGTCTTATTTCTGTATTAATTTATTCAAAGTTTCATTAATCAAATGGCTGCTGTTCTGCCTGATAGGTGAAAACTTTAAAATCAATATAGTGCAATGTTAACATGTAAAAACAGAAAAAAAAAACTGTTGCACTCCTGTCACCGTAATATTGTGCATTAGTTTTCAGTTGCAATGGCAGACAAAAGTACACCTAAATAATGGTAAAACATGCAATTACAATGCATCTGATTATATAGGAACAAAACAACCAAAACATTCATCAAGGGAAAACAAGAAGAGAAGTTAAAGGCAGTTTGATGCCTTGAACATTATTCTGTGAGGAACCCTGACTTCTCCCGTTCATGTACATGTTCTTTTTGCACACAAAAGATACCTAAGCCTTGTTGAAGATGTTAATCAGTATTTCCTGTGATGTTAATCAGTATTTCCTGTCGTCTTTTTAATGCCCTTGCCACATAGCAGAAATGGGTCAGGAGTACAAGAGAACAAGAAGTGTACAAGAGTGTCAATTTGGTCTAATACTCTGGATATCAATCAAATCCAACATCTGTAGAATAAAGACCTTATCTACGGAATTCACAAGTCACAGCTTACAAGACTTAAATGATCTACTGCCAACTCAACAGTGGCCGATATGGTAGGTGGCAGTATAAGGAGGACCACAACACAATTAGGTAGGTAGTAATGATGTTATGCCTAACAGCAATATTTCTGAAAGCCAACTTTTCTACATTATTTCTGTAGCACTGTAATCTATTAACAAATACATTTACTCACCACACTGCTGATTTCTGAGAGAAGCTGCTGGAGGAAATCCCTCAGTCTCTTCAAGTGTAAGGAGATGTCTTTCCCTGTGTGTGGAGTGTCAATTTGGCCCCAAGCGATGGCTTTTTCAAGCCAGAAGGGCATCTCCTGAGCATTTGGCCACTGTGCTGTGGTTTGCTGAACTTGCAGCTCAGTCATTTGACGTTTTCCACAGGCAAATTTACTTTTGAGCTTAAAGAAATCCTAGGAAACAGCAATAAATGTGCCATTAAAGTCAAGAATTACACAGAAATTGTCATGAAACTTGAACTTTACCATCATATTTTGTAAGCATCAAGACAGAATAATGGCAAAGGGATCTTGGCGGTATACCATTTTTCTGTTAGCATATTTGTGGACATAGATGTTTGATTTATTTTGACATCTCTTCGTTTCCCGCTATCCAGTTTCATTGGCTTCAGATGTTGTGCACCACTAAGTATTTAGAAATAAAAGAAAAAAGTAATAAACCACTTTGTTTAACCTGAAGAAAACACAAATTGTGTTTGGGAAGTACAAGATTGAAAAATAAGACAAACTTTGTTTACAGGAAAACTCCACATGGAGATTTACTGTTACACTGACAAATAAAAACTCAGGTTCACTTCTTTAAACAGTAAAAAAACATTTATATGGGAACTTTTTCTATAAATGATTTTCAAAAAATGTAATTATTAACAAATTAAATCACGATTTGTCTACGCCCGGTACGAAGTAGAAAAATAATAAACAGTCTTTAGTAGGCTGCTCAATGACAAAAAGAACAGCATAAGATCCTAACTTGAAAATGATAGCACGGTCATATCATTTGTTAAATAGAGAGAATATCGCTGATAACGTTTACTTTCATCAGTAGAAAGTAGGCAACCATCAACAAAGACATTATAACAATTAGATACAGAGAGAAAGTGGAGCCCAGAAAGTCAGAAACTGAAGAACATTAACAAATGTTAATGTTCCATCAATGAACACTAAAAGGCCGCTCTGGTAACCTTTTAGTGTTGCTCTGGCAACATGACACGACTTCATGTATGAAAGTCAGTCATTGGTGCACTCACATGCAGCATGTGCTGCATTGAGTTATGCTAGCTACACTAACCATAACATTAAACATGTTCATTAGTGATGTTTAAAATAATTAAAATGTAAACTCGAAAAATCACTTTTTGTCTTTGATCTAAAATAATAAAATACAATTTCACAACGACTGCTCTCTCTCATTGTGTGATGCCACCTCCACTCCAAATAATTAACCACCACTCCTGGCAGGGTTTATAGGGGGGGAAAAAAATCATATGATTCTTATGAGAATTGGCAAAAATATCTTGTATTTGGTGTAAAAACAAAGACAGTGAGAACTGAGCAGGTCAAAGCCTTAGAAAATATCCAAGTCAAAAATTGGCCAGATAATCCTAATAGGCAGATCTCAAATTCCAATTAGACTTACTGAAAAAGTTACATTTTGATCATGAAAATGAAACTTAAATAAAACAACTGGTTATTAGATAGGGCTGTATGATATAAGAAAATCATTGGTAAATATTGCTTTGATGATATTAGTTGTGATATATGCATATTTTTTATTCAACTTTCATGTGTGCTTCCTTCAGTCTGTGATCTAAAGCATTCCGTCCATTCATTTGTGGCCAGTGTGAATATCTGATGTCATCAGATTTTGTGCATCTGCCTAAACATTACGTTAGGATGTAAAATCCAAGTTGATAACTCCTGGAATATATCACCCAACAATTATTGCACTCCAAACACTTCTTTCTAATGTGAATATTGTGATAATGGATGTGTTCAAACTTAGCATTAATCTCCCCTCAGTGTCAATCTGTTTTATTCTCATTGAGCTTGACTTCTCTAGATGAATTTCAACCTGACCAATCAGCAAACAGAAAGAAGGGTTATGAATGATTTGACATCGTTTTTCTGTGCCATTTCAGAATTGAAGTATGCCTTTGCAGTTTGGCAGTGGCAGAGGAGGAAGTGAAAGAAGCTATTCAGTCCGTGTTGGACACGCCTCCAAATACTGAGCAATTAAAGTTGGAGGAATATTCAAGACATTTTATTGCTGGCAAAGATGATCCTACTCCCCACTGGAATGTTTACAGCTCACGCAATTTCCGGTAAGCTTTATTGAGCGGGCGCTTTACACATGTCCCAGCCAAATGTTTAAGAATTCAACAGAGTCCATGCCTCCAGCAAGCAATCATTTCTGAATAGCCAAGTGTCCCAATCGTCCATGCGTAGAAAGTGTAGAACAAGCGGCTGGTTTTTACCACGCTAGTATTAAATAAACAATAACTAAAAACAGATGCTTTTGACAATTACGTCAATATCTGCATATGTGGCCTACATCCTCCAAAGCCACCCTTGCTCTCATAGGAGGTTAATAGAATAAGTGGGATGAATAAAAAAGAGGAAATAAATTGTTTTGATCTAGTTATTCTACCCTCTTATTACCACAATTTAATGATCACATCCCTGTGATCCAAGCAATATCTTCTGCACATCCAAGACTGCCTACTGAAAAATAAACAGTACATTCTTCACCTTTTATGAAGATGGAAAACAGCATAGAAGGGCAGGCCCCAAGGATGTGTATGAGGACATGTTTCATGTCTGCATATAGCTCGAGAATCGTGTGTGTGCGTGTTTGTTGTGTTTTGCCATAATGACAGGTCTATGTGGGACACCACAGGCTTGTATTTTATGATCACCTCGTAACACATGATTTGTTTAATGTCTTGCCATCAGCTCAGCTGGAAAGCCCCTATGGCACGCTGAAATGAATATAAAAATACTAATTTCAGGGAGGAAAAATGCCAAACCAAATTAGGAACAAACGACTCTTTTTGACTTGTCTCTGAGGGTCTCCATTTTCAAAAAATCTGAAGGTGAACCTAAAAGAAAAACAACCTTAGCGGAGTTTCATTAACATCTCTATCCTATAGTTACAAGTACATATAGGCACAGACAAAAATAAAATACAGTTACAAGAAAAACTTCTAAAACTCAGGTTACACAAAAAAAAAATAAAAAATCATGTACATGTACAAACAGACTCAGCAGCAGCTCTGGAATTAGATATGCACATTTTGGAGGAGGAATGAGATGTGACTGGTCAAATATTATCTTTGAGGACGTGTTAAACTAAGTTTGTGGACTTTGGGTTTTGCTCAGTTTGCTGATGTAATTATGAGATTGTTGACATTATTTCAGTACAACCAAAATCAGTTTAGCATCACTTTCTGCAAATGTGCCTGCATATGATTTCCTTATGTTCAACACGGTTTAATAAGATGAGAAACAGTTTGACAGACAGTTTGATTCTGACCATTCTGACCATGTCCCACTGCAGTGAGACAGTGATGTGTGAGTCTGCTGCATTGGTTTCAACTAGCCCTTGTTTTTGAAGTACAATTTTGCTTATAGAGACTTCTAATTTTATTTATTCATGTTTTGTTTATTTTGAATATTTAAAATGCGTCCCAGTTAAAGTGTTAAATGTCCATTAGAATGTAATGTTTATCAACCTTTGAGAATGAGTTCTTGCATTGGTATGCCAATAGCATATGTCCTAAAACGACAATGTTATCATTTATCGTAATAACATCTCAGACAATTTGCCATCCAGCAAAATTTGTCACTGTGACAAGTCTAGTTACATGCTGTGGACAATGAATGTCACTGCTTCATACAAAAATTTAGCCATCGTTTTCATCTAGTTCTTTTTGGAAATATAAGAATAAAACAAAAGATTTCTCAGCCAATCAATTTCTCAGTTTATAGTTTAGTTTCTCACCGCAATTTCTAAGCCAACCACATGGTTCACAGATCACCAAAATGGTATATTTTGCCTAATAATAGTGCCTAACCTATTGCTGTCTAGTCTTTGAATAGATAGATAGATAGATAGATAGATAGATAGATAGATAGATAGATAGATAGATAGATAGATAGATAGATAGATAGATAGATAGATAGATAGATAGATAGATAGATAGATAGATAGATAGATAGATAGATAGATAGATAGATAGATGGGGGCACATAGACATATATGTGCAGTATCAACATCAGACCACAGGATGTCAGTATTTCCTCCTCTACAGAAGACCGTTTTATAAAGGAAAACTATCAATAAAAACCCAACGCAGCCTCAAACCACTGCTGTTGTATGTCAGTCGGTGTCGAAGTTAAGTTAAAGGAATACATTTAAACTTTTTTATACTCTCTTTCATGGATTGTTTTTAATCTAGAATGTTCTCAGCAACATACATACTTGACAGTCATTACCCGTCGACTGCAGATTATTCAAATGTGAACTTACATTCAAATAGTATGCGCAGCTCTCAAATTGATGTATTTCCAAAGCAGAAGCTGGTCATACGAAAATATTCTTTACAGCCGACAAAAACCTCTTTCTTTGCGCGGAAAGAAACTGAACTTCCCTCTTCTCTAGTGAGTTCCGGGTTGGGAAGGATCCTATTTGCTGAGAGCTCTGACGTACGCGGACATCCCCTTGGAAAGACTCCTGGGAAATGAAGTCGCAAAACTCAATTTATTATCATTTTTTTTAGTTGGATGTGATTATAAAGTGAAACACATTTTATTAGTTTCTACTTAATCAAACAACCACATAAAAACCCTAATAATCAGGATTTTAGTTCAATCAAGTTTAAAGTAATTTGGAGTATTTATAAATATGATATTCTTGAAGCAGATTAATTAGAATTGGGATTATTACTTTTTTAATTTATTCCACAGCCCTACATTTTGTTGTTGTTGCTGTTGTTGTTGATGATGATGTTTGGATGCCAGAAATAGTTTTAAGACAAACAATCTTATTATAAGCAGCAACAGATATGCATGGGTTTAAGGAATACATTAATTAATAAATTTGGCATGTCACTGGAATCTACACAATCAACTCTGAAACTGTGCCTATTCTTGGTTTCTGTTTGCAGATGTAAGTAGGTGAGTGGGTTCATTCATTCATTTCTGTGTCAAACATTTTAGGTTTAAACATTAAAAGGGTGAAGCAGAGTGCATTCCAGGGGCAGGAACTTAAAGGTTCCAGAGTGTGTTCCACAGGGACTTCTGAGGGGTTCCCAGCAAGCATGGCTCAAAGTGACAAATCATCTAAGCTTTTGCCAGACCCGGAGAAACTTGCAGCAGCAGAAAATAAATTGTTTAAAATACGTATCGCCCCATGTGTTGGTTTGAGCATGCACATGTGTGTGCATAAGTGCACAGCAGGCTTGCATGAGAAAGAGATTATACACATGTAGTTGTAGACGCGCATTTACTCAATTTTTTTTCTGGTGAATGCAGTCCTTGTGTATGTCTATGTGTGGTCAAATATTTTTAAATCATGCATTTGCTACTTGAATTCTGCAGAGCGTTTCAGGACAGGCCCTGGTCTGTGCTATACGTGCTCACCTTGAGTAACAGCAGTACAGTCTCATAGATAAAGAATAACAGGGTCTTTTGCCTCTAGAGCAAACCCTAGAAGTTCTATGGTGCATTTGAGAACAGGTTTGTGAACATGAGGTGTGTGTAAGTGTTAATCTCTTTTGTGTGTGTTGTCTTTATTTATATATATATTAAGTTCACTTCATTTTGCTTGAATTATCAAAAGAAACATCTTTAAGGCTTTGAAAAAGCAGCAATAGAATAATGTCCTCTACACACCAGGATAAGTCAAATCGAGCCTTCAGGAAAAATACAACTGATCTGTTTTAATTGTTTGTGTTTTGTTACTTATTTAGCAAAAAGCATCCGACAGAATTGTTGTGTCAGAACGTATAATAAAAAGATATGCCTTTTTATAAAATGAAATTGATGTAAATTTATCAAATCAATAGATAAATCTCACTAGTGATGACAATAAGACACATAATGAAGCACAATGAACACATGTTTTTAACTGTTTTGTTCCTTTGTTTCTTTTACATAGAAAACATACAAATCCTACATATCATCAAATTTGTCCAAGAACTCACCTATTTGCTCTATCAAATGCTGTTCTTTACTTGATGATCTGAATACTGTTCCAAAAATTTTTTTTTAAATTTCATTTAAATTTAAACCGATGATATGAATGAATGAATGAATGAATGAATGAATGAATGAATGAATGAATGAATGAATGGTCAGGTTGTACCTGGCTTGCATGATGGATTCTGGATAAATTTGCCAGCGTCCCTGTGATTATGATCCAGTTAAAGTGGATGCATACATATGCATTTATCAGTTTTTAACTATCTAAATTTAATCTACATAAATCCTTTCTATGTGTCAGACTGGGATGTGCTTACAAATAATCTGTTTTGAACAAAGACCCTATTTTAACTACTTTGTAGGCGTTAAAATATGACTCCAATGAAAGAGTCATATTTTAACTTGTTCCGGCCAACTACAAAGCAATATGGGTTTTGTATGAATAACACCCATGTATATTTTTATGTAAGTAGCAGAGGACAAGATGAAATTCAGTTGGTTGCATGGTGCACCATTTCTTTATTTATTGCTGTGTTATGTTGTTGTCCTCTGTAGCAACCACTTACCACACCCTTCATACATGACAAAACTGCAATAAAAGTACTATAATTGTATTACAACTTAGATGGAAAAAGATATGACATCGGGAAAAAAGATGGTTTAATATAATGGTAACAGACATCAATCCGTGACTTTGTGTTTCACTGCACAAAAATGCAGAAGATGAAAAGAAATGCCCAGCACAAAGCACTTCAAAAAGGACATACACATCTGGAGAATCTCCTCTGCTGGTGTGGGCAACACACAAAATGTGTGTAATATTCTGCCTTGAGGAAAACAATCATCTCTTTTCTTACACAACACTTATGACATTGCATGTTACGCCGTCTTCTGTTTCACATGGACACATAATGAAGACACAAACATTTATCTCCTGCATTCCATCTAATATTTTAAGAACAAACAAATGTAGTCACATGGATTCACTGTTCATGTTTCCAGGCATCCTTCTTTATTGCTAAGGGAGGAAGCTGAGGATTGGTGGAGAAAAGGCGAGGGATGCTGTGACCAATGTGAAACAGCATTGCGTGCACAAGACACAAGTACAGTGTGCACCAATCCTGCACTGTTACATTCTCTGCACACTGAGAGCTGCACTTTGACATATACAACTCATTTACCAAATGATCAATAATCTCACAATGGTTGGCATCTTATTTTATTAGAGTTAATTTTTACAGAATTTTCAAGCCAACTCTGCCTACCTCAGCTATTTTTGTGTCCTGCATAGTAATCAGAGCTCTCTCTGCTCTGTTTGGCAATCAAGAAGCTGCTGAGATTTTCTTGTCCCTTTTGGATGTCCAAAAGGGACAAGATTCAGCAAATTAATGAACGTTAGATAGTATCTGAAATAGAAAACAAAGGACAAAATACATTTGTCACAGATTAAAAAATATTTCAATTATTTAACAAAGCATACTTCACCCATTTATTGTCATTGGGCAAGAGGCAAAGCACACACCAGACAGATTACCAGTCCATTACAGAGAAACACAGAGATATAGAGAACGGTTGGAAAACATCACGTGCAACAGTCACGTTTTTGGGCCATGGGAGGAAGTTGGAATACCAGAAGACAACCCATACATGAGCGAAGATAACGTCCAAAACGTCAGGCCAGCGTTTGAACCCAGTACTCTCTGGCTGCAAGGAAACAGTGCTTCCAAAAACCACAGCTGCATGCATATTTATTTAACTCTTTAATTTTTACATACAAATGTTTTGCATCAAGGTCTGCCCATTGGTGCATTAGTTGGTGGTAAAAACACTATTAAGGCACAGACAGTGGACAGTTTAAAGTATTTCATCATGCACTGAAATATAGAAGACATATATACAGCCAATAAATTACATAAAATTAGAATATTAATGAGAAGTTCATACATTTCAGTAAGCAAATTCATTAACAGAATTACATTTAATAAATTACAGAGACTGATGTCTTCAAGTTTATATTTCCTTTAATTTGGTAATTTCCAATTTTGAATCAGACTGTTGCATCAGACCACTAAAACAGTTTTAGTACAAATATGAGGGGTTTGTGAAAACCCCTCATTTTAATGCCTGCTTAAAGGCAATTGTACATGAAAGACACTTTTAATGTGACAAACAAAATGGTTATTTTAGTTTATTGATTATGAATACAGAATATGTTACAAACAATGCCAGATGATAATTGCCTATTCGTCATAATTTCTATATTTGTGTTTTGTTTGCAAAATAAGGTTATTCACAACTTTAATATAATTTTACATATTGAATTTGAATTTTAACATATTAATTTCTATATAAGGTGTGCTTTTTTGTTAAATATTCATGGACTTTATTTGTTTATTTGATGTTTTTGAGTTATGATGTTATGCAATGATGAAATGATTTATCTTTGTTAATGCATTGCCTTTGTCATGTTTAAGCTCTGTTTTTTCAATAGTCAAGTCAATTCAGCTTCAGAGTTTGTATTGAGGGATCAGATAATCCAAATAGTAGTAAATTGACTTCACTATTACATTTAACTAATTTGTATTACGTTGTGTTATTTAAACTTTTGTGACAAACAAACTAAAACCTGTTCAGTCTAAGACTGTGTTTAAATCAAACTATCTCTGTAGTTTTTGAACCTGTGGGTTTTGAAAAAACTAAATCTGAAAATAAAGTCATTCAAAAATTAACAGGAACTTGTTTGAATGTTCACTCTATTTCACAAGTTCAACAACCTGATAGCAGAGCTTTTTTATCCATTTTTACCATGACATGTCTTACACTCACACCAACTCACAAGAGAGGAAATTCAAGGGAGAGAAGGAGGTATGGGGAGTGAGACACCTGCTTTCTATTAGTCCAGTAGATTGCAGGGAAATTGAGTGGGAGTGTTAAACACAAGCACATCCATCTATCTGCCCCTCTGTCTGCAATAATTACACACTTCCTGCTCTAAAATGCTTCTCTGATAGCTTTTACACTAATTGAGTCTTTGTTTAAGCTCAAGTGTGCACATGTAGGTATTCAACAGAGAGCAAGTTTCTCTGGGAGTCTCAAAAACTAGTCACCAAAGGCTACAGATATATTTTGACAAAATATAAAACACACAGAGAAGTATGAAAGGCATCACTGTTGAAGGACACATTCCAAAGAAGGCAATCAAGCACTTTTAGTCAAGGAAAGCAATTTGGTTTTAAGGTAATCTGATATGTCTGAGATTGAGTGAATTATAATTTAAGAAGAATCACATAAAGTTCCTATAATATACACTTAAGATGGTGGTTATAGCTTGACAAAATGTAAGAATGCTCTGGAGCTACGAATACTTTGGTAAGGCACCGTGAATAAATGTCTGAAAACTGTAATGAACTAACAAA